TTAAGTGGTACAACCACTTTGGCAGTTTCTTTTAAAGTTAAATTTACTATATGAGCAATTCTAATCCAACCTATTTACCCAAAAGAAATGAAAACATAAGTCAATAAAGACTTGTACATGAATGTTTATAGTATCTTTTCATAAATGCCAAAAACCAAGAACAACCCAAATGACCAACAGGTTAGATGGATAAGTCATCATGTATCCATACACTGGAATACTGCATGCAACCAGTGTGTGAATCTCAGAATCAGTATATGAGCAAAAGAAGCTATATGATTTTGTTAGTATGAAATTCTAGAAAAGGCAAAACCAGTCTCTAGTGACAGAAATCATTATCAATGGTTGCCTGAGGGGGCTGTTATTAACTGCAGAAATGTATGAAAAAACTGTTGGGGGTAATGAATATTCTTCATCTTGATTGTGATTGTTTGTTACACAAGGGTAAATATTTAACTCATTAAACTATACATAAAAATTCGGTGCATTTTGTGTTGTATACAAGTTACACCTCAATAAATTTGATTTTTTTTAAAATGAGAGAAACTAAAAAATATAAGTAAAAATAGAATATAGGCCACCGTGGAGCAGAACTGAAACATGTGTGAACTCCACTTATTATTAGGGATTTTAGTTTAGGGTGATAAATGATTACTGACTACACAGGAGTAGAATGTCATTCTCTTCAATCTTTGCACATTGTGATTATGAGGGGAGTGGAGGGCATCAAAGTATAGAAGGGAAACTACAATTCAAAACTGAATAAAATAACATCTTGTCACCACTGTCACACATCAGTTCAGTCAGCTGCTAAATTCCTTATAGGCCTCTGAGGAGAGGTTAGGCTTGCTGCGTGAAGTCCGATGAGCTTTTTTGAAATAGAGTAGTGTTAGGTGAGAGAGGCCTGAAATGCTAATGTCTACATAGGACAGTTCTTTGGTTTTAGAAGTAGTTGAAAATACTAGAAAATAGCAACCTTGAGTGAGAGACACCTTGGGATTTTATAGACTAAACTGGTAAGTCAGGCAGATGGTATAGCTGTAGTATTTAAATTTCAGCATCGCATTTGAATATCCCATGATATTCTTGAGGTTAAGATCAAGAGATGTAACATGCATGTATGTAACATGTAACTCGGCTCATCACCGTGTAATGATTATACCTGAAGCTATCAAGTTGGAGATTTTTGCCCTCATTTCTCTATTGAGAATGACTAGCATACTTGCACATAACTCAGCATACTGATCCTTAGCATACTGATCTTTTCAAACTTAATTTCTTGTGGAAACTAAATTTTAATATAGGCCTTGTCTACAGATTTGAAATGTTCAGGTCCAAAAAAGTAAACAAATGTTGGATGGGAATGTTCTGTAAAAGCAGTGCAAAACAACAACTCTCCAGGGTTGTATGAGTATAATTTTAATAAGGGTCAGTAGATTGACTTTGGCTGCCGTACTAATCACAATAGTGACTGATTTAATCATTTTTTGCCAGGCATAAGAAAGATGACGCTGAGTTTGTTTTTCGTCTTTTTGATTCTACATATAAGTGAGATCACACAGTATCTGTCTTTCTCTGACCAACTTCACTTAACAAGATGCCCTCAAGGTCCAACCATGTTGTCACAAATGACAGGATTTTCCTTTTGATAGCTGAATAATACTCCACGGTGTATGTGTGTGTCACATTTTCTTTATCCATTTATGGGCACTTAAGTTGGTTCCATGTCTTGGCTCTTGTGAATAATGCTGCAATGAACATGACATCTCTTTGAGATCCTAATTTAAATTCTTTTGGATAAAAATCCATAAGTGGAATTGCTGGATCATATGATATTTATGTTAATTTTTTGAGGAAACTCTGTACTGTTTTTTATAGTGGCCGCACCTATTTCTTTTCTCATGAGTAGTGTACAAGCATTCTTTTTTCTCCACGTCCTCACCAGTACTTTCTATTGTCTTTTTGATAATGGCATTTAAAACAGACGTGGGGTGATATCTCACTGTGGTTTTCATGTGTATTTCCCTGATGAGTAGCAATGTTGAGCATCTTTTCATTTCCTGTTGGCCATTTGTGCGCCTTCTTTGGAAAAATGTCTATTTCTTTAATCTGATTGTTGGAGTTTTTTTGCTATTGTGTTATATTAGTTCTTTGTATTTTGCGGGGGGGAGGGATGGAGGGATATCCTCTTATCGATGTATGATTTGCAAGTATTTTCTCCCATTTGGTAGGGTGCCTTATCATTTTGGTGGTGATTTCCTTTGCTTTGAAGAAGTTTTTTTAGTTATATGTAGTCCCACTTGTTTATTTTTGCTTTTGGTGTCAAATTCAAAAAAATCAGCAAAACCAATTGTCAGGGAGCATACCACCTATGTTTTCTTCTAGGAGTTTGTGGTTTCAGATCTTACATTCAAGAGGAAGATGAAGATGAGAATTTCACTCTAGTTTGTATTGATTAGATCAAATCTAGAGTGTTGTATTTGCTTTTGGGACATCATATTATGCTCTAAAAAGAATGTTGAAAAGCTGAATCTCGGATAAGAGCTTGAAAGAAATAGTATAGAGAACAAATTTTACTAGGTGATTTCCCAGCTTTAAGATTGAATGATTCTATAAGTAGGAGGAAGGAGACTCCTGAGAGAAACCTATCAGGAGAATGATATTTAGTTTATAGCACGTTTTTCTTTCCTACTATTTTTATAAACCCATTAGGTTCTCATTAACATCTTAGAAAGGTAAGGAGGAGGTCCAATTTAATTGTCCTAAATAATGGGTAGACTTCTGTGTCATCTGCAGCAATGTAAAGTTCATTTATTCTTGTTCCCTTCCCTGCCCTCAACCAGTTATGTATTTTTTGGCATCTTCCTTTATAAGTGGTTGGTACTTAGGAAATTATGTTTTAGTGTCAGTCCTTATAGAATTATTTAGAGTAGTGATTACTCTGGAACAGTATACTGTGTGGCAATTGGGGTATGATACTCATCCCATTTTCTAGCTAGAGAATTTGAGTTTCTTTTCTTTCTTATCTTCCATTATACAGACCTGGATTTCTGCTCTTTTGCTGCTTTTGTTACAGAGATGTTACAGAAAGTATTATTAAATAAGATATATTAGAAATGCAATTTGTAAACAATAAAGGCTTACACAAGGATAAGGTAGTGTAATTTCAAGTTACAGCTTACACAACTTTGACCTATAATAAATTTATGCTAAGCAGCTTCTAGGGTTATAGCACTAGCTCAGCAGTCATATTTATATCTTGTTAATTACCTAGTGCTTTCCTGTCGGAAATTCTCTCAACCCTCTAGTTACATCTCTACCTACTTTATTCTTGTGTGTCATATTCATTGAAAAGATTGACACCACCCATCAAGAACATCTTTATCTTCCCTTCTTGTAATTTTATCATACTGCCATATTTTCACATGTAGCACCCATCTGTCATTGTTTGTAATTTTAAAGGAGGCAGAAGCTCTTTTCAAAGACTCACACCTTTTCTGCGAACTAAATACCAGATCCCTGACTGAAGCACAGAGCTCGACCACCACCGCCATTATCATCGATCCTCCTTCCTTCTAACAGAGGCAGGGTCTCCCCGTCTGGAAAAAGCTTTTGATTGAGACCCATTTTCCTCCATCTGGTTTTACCTTTCTGTGTCATTGGAGGACATTTTAAGCAAATGAGGCCTGTAACGCCACATTTTCTTTCAGTGGAAGAGTGACAGTGTGATGTAGTAAACACTGGGCCTAAAAGGTCATGACAAGAAAATAATTTTAGAACATGGTAAATGCTATAAAGGAAATAAACACTATGCAGTAAGAGTAATTGGAGGAGAAGAGGTTACTTTGTATAAACAGTAATTTGAAGTGAAACTTTTGTCAGAAAAAATCTTTCAAAATCTGGATTTCTGGGACTTGTGGAAGTTTAAATGAAAATGAAAAAGCATAAATAATCTTAATTATTTGCAAATCTTTCATTTTAAACAGTGTGCATTTCATAATTTTGATTTGATAGTCTCATTTTAAGGCGAAACATTTCCTAATGGTCATTGTCAGATTTCAGAAGTTTCATATATCTGTTCTCTCCCGTGTTAAATGAAGAAAAATAACCTTGACTAGGACATTATATGCATCTCATTGTAGTTGATTCAACAGATGTGTATTGAATACTTATCACGTGCCAGGCACTGAACTTGGCACTAGGACAAACAAAAATAAACTAGACAACTCTTTTCCCTCAATGAACCCAACTAAATCAGTTTTTAGGGGTAACATAAGTGATTTAAACTCATCGTTGACTTTAAAGTAGATTCCCTGTGGCCATTATGAGGAAGTTTGCTTCTCACTAGTTTTAAGAAGGTATTATAAGAATATATTAATACTCCCTTTAAGAATGGTTTTAATTTATCAATCAAACTTTCATATTTTAGGGTTTACATTCTAAATAGAAAGCGAACATAGGTGAAAAAAATACATGAACCAAGCTATTAGAACACTGTATAACTGAACAGTGAAAGATCACTTTCAGTTGAGTTAGTAATGGGAAAGCTTCACTCAGGAATTAGAACATATGTTCAATCCTAAAGAATAGGTATGAATCGGTGGCGAATAGAATGAAAGTTGATTTGGGGGATGGATGTAGAAGGGGAGCATTGATCACTAAGGTGAGATTAAACATCAAGGTATATGTAAAGGACACAGATAAATAGGCTTGACTGGAATGAAAGGTTTGTATTGGTAAATAGTCAAAGATAAAGAAAAGTCTTTTAGTAGAAAACAAGATTTTGGCTGTACCATATTTATAATGTGTTCCTATAATCCTAAATTTATTTGCAGTCAATTTTAATATTTCTTCTATGTAAAGAGGTTATCAAATTGTACAGTTTGCAATTGTATCATGATACTAAATAAGTCTTTATTTACACCCCTAAATATGTTCTATAGATTTTGAGGCCAGAGTATTTAGCCCTACTCAGGTTAAAATGATGTTTTGTTTTTCAGTTACTTACACGCCAAGTCAATCATCCACAGAGACCTCAAGAGTAATAGTATCCTTCCTGAAATTTGTCTGTGAAGTTTGAAAACATCATGATTTTTTCTTCTGCATTTTTGTCTTCACATTATGTAAAAACAGTTTCTTGCTAAGTTAAATATACTGTAAAGAGAATAAATGGATTTACATGAGAGTGTAGTAGTAAGGTACTACAGCCTGCTTTTGGTTTCCGAATGATTGAGCATTACAAAAAAATCTATGAAATCTTATGGTAGTAGGGCTCTTTGATTGCTTGCATATGTGCTGTCAATGCTATAAAACATAGTTTTGTAGCTGTCTGCTAGTTTCTTTTAGCACTCTGACCTTGCTCGACAAAAGTTGAGTTGTAACTGAAGGCTCTCAGTTACGTAACAGGTGAGAAAAACATAATTTTTTCTCTTCTGTAAACTCAGATTTAGATCCTGTCTGCCAGCCACCTTCATTCCAGGGAAGAGCCTTCACCACTATGCCATCAGTGCCCAAAGTTCTTGAGCCTTTGTTACGGAAATCTAATAAAGTTTCAGGGTGTCCCGTAAACTTAGGAAAGCATCTTAGCTTCATCCTACGACATCAAGCCCCAAAACCTTAAAAGCAGGTCATAAGGGCCAAATAGACATTATTTTTTAAAATATTTATTAACTATAAGAGGAAATGTGAAATACTGTACTTTTATAAAGAATATCATACTACAGAATTAGAGAAATTAGATCTCTTACCTAAAATTTTCATAATGCTTGCTCTGGTAGGAAAATGAGATCTCCTGTTTTCCTTTACTTATTACATCACAGATATATTTCTTCATGAAGACCTCACAGTAAAAATAGGTGACTTTGGTCTAGCCACAGTGAAATCTCGATGGAGTGGGTCCCATCAGTTTGAACAGTTGTCTGGATCCATTTTGTGGATGGTAAGAATTGAGGCTTTTTTTTTTTCATTAATTAAATTTTGGACCCTGAGGTGCTGCTGAGTCCTAGAAAGTCATTGACGGTTTCAACTGTAGTGTATTCGTAGTTCTCAGTAGTCACAAAAATCAATGTTGATCTTATTTTTCATGTAAATAAATTTATACTTTTTTCTTTATCTTTAAAATATATATTATGAAACTAGTTTTAGTATCTTTGAAAAGAAAATATGTATTTTATAAACGGTTTAAATTTTATTCAAAATTGTCTCTGTAGAATATTTTGTGTTCAAATTGTTCTGTGTACCAAGTGTGCAATTTAAGCAAGTGTGTTCTGCAGCCATTATTAAGGTTTTGTGAAGAGAACTACTCCTTTTAAGAGAGAGGCTGTTTGACAATCTTATTTAAGCCTACATCAGAAAGTTACTTCCTTTAGACTAGAAAGAACTGTATAATTATGGGGCAACTAGGAGAGGAAAGAAAAAATGAGAGGTGGATTTTTTTAACACTGTAGCTTTGTGCTGCCCTACATAGTTCTTTCTCTGTATTCCTATTTCTGCTTTGTGGACAAGAAGAGAATGTATGAAAGAAGGGATCTAAAACTTCCGTGCAGTCACCTTCAGTAGGCTATGAAAAGGGCAGTCTCAGAATCATTCTCTAAGTCAGTAGTTCTCAAAAGGGTCCCTAAGACCCATTTACAAGTCCCTGAGGTCATCCCTGTGCGAGATCAGATTTTTCTTCACATTCTTCAGGACAAAGCATCATAGCAGATTGAATGCAGAAGCAAATATGTGACTAGCTGCTTGCGGTTAAACCAGACAAAGAGAATTGTAGTATTATTCTTCTCACTAAACGTTTTTTGTTTTTGAAAATATAGTTACTTTTCATTTAAAATGTGTGATCTGTGTTAGCATCTAATGGTTGTTTTGTTACTTAAATGAATTAATAAACATTTTAAGTTTCTCAGTTGTTTTAATATGATATATCCACAGATATAATCCACATAAATAAAGGCTCCTTGGGATCCTCAATAATTTTTAAGACAAAGAGTCCTGGGATCAAAAAGTTTGAGAACTGCTCCCCTAAGCTGAATAAAGGGTGTTCCGAAACCATTACTGCAGGTTTTAAGCTTAAATAACAGAATCTGCGCTTCGGGACACCCTGCTGGAAACAGAAAAGCTGCAAGGGCTTCCAGAGCCACATTTGCTTAAATTCTTTGAACTCTCTGCATCAGCCCCCAGGAAGAGAGTTCCAAGGCAGGATTCTGAATCAGTCAAGATAAGCCAAGGGTTAAATTCAGCTCTGATTTCTTATAATAATAATTGAAATTAGGGCAAGTGGCAAGATGGAAGGGGATTGGATTTAGAGTTAGAAGGTCTGTGCTCTAGTGCTTCGTGTGACTTTGAACATGCACATTTCTTAACCTCCAAGTCTCCATCTTTAACATTGGGTTGGACTGGTGGATTTCTAACACCTTTTCTCTTTCTAAGATTGAATAATTAGAACTAGCTAGATTTTTCTTTAATATATGTTCAACTGTTTTAATAACTAATTATAAGTGAGGCTAATTAATCATTGTATCCGGATCTCAGGCACACACCTTGTAACAAATATGGCAGTGTATCCTAAGGGAGAGGAAAAACAGATTTTAAGTACTGAAATTGCAAAACCTAAAGAAATAACTGAAAACATGTTTTAGAGGTGTGTTTTAGTGTGGGAGAAAGGCTCAGTCAAGTCTTCAAGTTTGTCCTTTTTAAAAAAACCTTAGTAGATTTTTATACATGAAGATTTATCTTCCGATTTCCTTTTTGTTGATACCTGGGCAGATGAGTTCATCCTTTATTCCACCAAGATGAGTTTTAAGATAAGAGATGGGCCAGTAGTACACTTAATTGTTGAATAAATCCTTTTCAGTTGATATTGCCTTCAGAAACAATGTGTTACATCCCTAAACTAAGAAAGAAGGGTTTGGTCAGAACTAAGGTTATATAATTCTCTGAAAATAGGTGACTGAAAAAAAGTCTTCTCAACCTTGTTTTATTTATATCTTAGAGGAGAAAGAGACCAAAAAATTTTGCAAATTAAATCACTAGATTAATTGAGGACCAATCATGCCTTTCTTGTAAATAGATAACATACAACTTTTCATCAAGCCATCTACCAACAGCAGTTAAAATAAATTTTAAAGATAGTTTTTCAACAGATTTATTACTGTCTCTCACAAAAATTGTGTTCGGCTTTGAAAATTATGTCTGTATCATAACCAGCCTCAGTATTCTGGCTTGTTCATTACATCACAGTTGTATGTGGTTTATTTTATACTGTATTACTAAAAGCAATTGCAATAAAATATGACAAAAGCAAGTAGATACAACCTTCTCCTTCACCCCATTCTTCGAGTCTCATCAGGATCTCCCATACATCTTCCATCAGTGGTTCTCAAACCTTGGTTGGACATTTAAATTATCTGGGGAGCTTTAAAAACTAACAGTGCTTGGATTCCACCCCCAGATTCTGATGTTATATTACTGGGCAGAAATGTGTTCTGGATGTTAAGAGGGGTCAAGCTGCACAGGTGATTTTGATTTGCAGGTGAGGCTGAGTACCATTTTGCCAGCCTTATGAGCTAGTCTCACCTGTTTTACCCTGACCAATAACCGGGAATCTTGGCCCAGGTGTTTCAACCATTTTTGCAGTTTGTCCTGGTTTTGGTATCAATTTAACATTTTCACAAAGTTTTTATTAATACCCTGCAATTTCTTTAATTCCTTCCAAATGAAACAACACAGAAAATTCAAGGTGAAAGAACTCTTTAATGTTTAACCATTTATTGTATTTCGTGTAAGTGGTAAGAAATCACAGTGACTGAAATGCATAAAAATGTAACAAATGTGGTTTGATGTCTGTCTTTGCCCAAGAAGCAGCAGCCAAAAGATTCTCAACCTAAATCTACCTCTGTTAAATCTGCCCGCTGCCTATTGCTTTTGTTAATGCAGCATCCATCGCATGTTTATACCACTTTTGGAGACAGGAAAGAGATTTGAGTTTATCAGTCTTGAAATTTTACCATTATTATCCAAGGTGTCCTGAGATGAGGAGAATCATTTGTACGAATGGGAAAACTTAAATTCTAAGGCAGTTGCCACAGTGGTGGCGCTAGTCCCAAACATAACCACAGGTGTAGTGTTTCTTTGCGGAATAAGGAATGGGAAGTGGGAACTGATTCTTGGTGGGTAAGTCAAGGGAAGAATTCAAATGGCAATGACGATATTTTGCATAGGAAGAGGGCGGCTGATAAAATTATAAAATTTTAGTATTGCATATAGAATCTCAGCTAATACTGCCTCTTTCAGAGTTTACAGAGCATTTTTTTTCTTTTTCTTAATTAGTTTTCTTTGGCCATTAAAAAGAAGTGGTTACATATTAGATTGGTTATTTAATGATAAAAAGCATTATTCTGGTAATTATAATAGTTTAGTTTTCACTGTTTATTCAGTTGAAGTAAAGAATAAACAAGAATATTTTTCTTCTTATGTTGTAACAGGCACCAGAAGTAATCAGAATGCAAGATAAAAACCCATATAGTTTTCAGTCAGATGTATATGCATTTGGGATTGTTCTGTATGAATTGATGACTGGACAGTTACCTTATTCAAACATCAACAACAGGGACCAGGTAAATACTTACCATCTCTTTGAGTTTATTTTACTGTTTATACAAAGGTTTCAATTGTTTATAGAAAAGAAGTGTTGAGTCCTGGGTAAGTATGAGAGAGAGATCTCTTGATCTTTGTTACCAGTTTTAGAAACCTTTTATATACTTTTGGGAGTAATGGCAGCATGTAAGTCGTTTCCTTGAAATTAGCATTTCTAATTAAGTATCGTAATGGAGTAAAATTCCTGATCTTCTGACTGGAAACCAGAGATACAACAATAGAAACACCTGGTGTTTCTTGACCATGGCACAGTTAGAAGAAGGAGTTCTGCTACTATAGTATCTGGGCCATAAAGCCTTTTACTCTGTCACAGGTTGTGCTATCTGAGCCGGTACTCAGCCATGACCTTCTTTATATCAAATTCTTTTAAAATTCTTAATATTTCTCCATTTTTTAATTTTTAAAATAGGTAAATGGAAGAACTGTGACATCATGATTTCATTTTTCTAGAATGAGAATTCTAGTAAGAGGGAATTTTTTTACTTCTCTCTTCCTAAGTTCCTTCTCTCTGTCCCTTACCCTCCAAGAAGTACCAGTGTAGCCTCATACAGCTCTTTGCCTCTTCTATCCTAGGCATATTAATTCACCTAGGCTTTTAACACTGGCCAGGAGAAATGAATTGTCTACCCAAATTACCTTGTATACCTCAACATTTTAAAAATATGTGTGAGAGAGCGAGCGAGCAAGGAGAGAGATTGCTGCAGTTACACTGTTAATATATTAGAAGACCATAATTGACCATATAAACTGATTAAATAATACTTATACTTTATACTGTGGTTTGTATCAGAACCACCTGGGTAATTTTTAAAAACGGAGATACTGGAGCAGATTCTGATTTGGTGGTGTAGAGTCTAAGCACCTGCACTTTTAATAAGTTTCCCAGGTGATTCTAATGTATACCAAAGTCAAGAATCACCAATCTAAAAAAGAGTAGGCGAACATTTTGTGTTTCATCATAACCTCCCAACTTAATGAAATGATAGTTTTTATGTATAAATGTGTTAACAATGTTTAAGTGTGTGTTTTTATCAATAGCTCAACTCTCAGTCATTTCAATGATAGCTCCGAGGAGCTTTTTCACTAACAACTTCCACTGTCATGTGATATCAGAGAGGTAATCTGACTTATCATGTATTTGGTATATGCTTATTAAATCACCATGTGGCCCTTACCCAGCTGTGGTCTTAATTCCATATTCTGAGAATTTTAAAAAACTAGTACATTTCTACCCATCAACACAAAACTAATTTTTTAATTGCTGTTTGGTCTTTCTATTACTTCATACCTTTAGAATGTTGAATCTTAACTTCGAGTGTTAAAAAAAAAAAATTATGACCTGGCTTCTGATGACCTGATATTTTAAGCCTACATTCAGGATGGTTCAAAATGCTAGCTAAAGAGCATAACTGAAACAGTACAGTTATTGTACTTGTGACAGATTCTAGATCACTAAGATGATTGATCTAATGATGACAGACCGAGTAGCAAGATTGTCTCTAATTTGCAAGCGTTGCGTGCTCTGCCTTTTACAGTCTTCTTAATTCGACCATACCACATAATACCCTGTACCATGCTCACTTTTCCTATGCATATTATTTTTTTAGAGGAATTATAGGAAATTTTAGTTTAGTTTTAGTTGTTTTATCATAAAGACTACAAATAAAAATTTATGAACTTAGATGAAATATATTTGTCAGTGAATATGCTTATTTTAATAAAATCGTATTATGTAAACAAGTATTATCTCCGAAATATGGGTAAGAGCATCCCGAAGTTCTGCACCCATCCACTTCTTGGCATTTTAGGTACTTTGTCCTCCGTGTGAGTATAAATGATGTGGCAAGGGCTTACTTACCCTCCATGAGAGAAATGAATGAGTGACCAATGGAAGGGTAAGGCCTTTCCTAGTTAATTCTTTCTGATGTAATTAGAGCCTTTGGAATTTTCTAGTCTGAAACCAAGTTAAATATTTGATAAAGAAAACAGAAAAGAAAAATGATATAGTCTTCCCATTACCAGTCTACTTCATTATCTTCTAGCCTGCTTTCTTCAGATGGCACTTTTCATGAAACTCCCTCTTGCATAACTTCTCTTGTATTTTGCTCTTCATGGCTCTCAGATTGGACTTCTGCTTGAAAATCTAGGAATATTCTTCTTTTTCATGAAAAAACTGCTTCTTTATAGTAGGAACCATTCCCCTACGCTCTCCCCCTGCCCCTCCCCCCCCGCCCCCTTCCCCGCCCCCCCCCCCCCACCATAGTCTGGGTTGGCAGTTTTCACCTGTAAATTCACGGCAGGACTCTGGTAAAGCAGTGTGATATAATGGCAGACCCTGGACTCACAGCTGGATAACCTAGTCATTTTACCCCTTTAGGTATTTTTTTTTCCAATTATAAAAATAAGATATTGGACTAAAGAATTCTTTCCAGTTATAAAGATCAAATTATTTTCTAAAAGGTCTCTTAGCTCCCTGAAGGATGACCATCCTATGTTACTCTGCAGAGTAGCATGTTTTTTTACTTCAGTTACTCTAGTGCAGACAGTCTGAGAAATGGCTGTGCCATTTTTTCCCTCTTTATTATTCCAGTTTGCTCTCTAATTATTCTTCCCTCTTTCAGTGCAGCTTCTCTACTAAGTCAAGTTAATAATGTGCTTATTTAAGCTACATAAATTAAGTGTCTACCCTCATGGCTTTCTTTTCTTAGAGGAGAGGAAGCGCTGTGTTGTCTTAGAAGATAACACGTTTATCTGTCACTCCAAGTGTATTCCAGTTATTATTGCTGTATAACAAACCACAGAAATGTCATGGCTTAAGCAACTTCTGAATCTACACTTTGGGCTGCTCTTGGTCAAGGAGGTTAATCTCTGTTGCACATGGTATTGGCTGGGTTAGATGCGCTGGGCGTTTAAGGATCTGCTTCTAACACGGTTCATTCACACACCTGACGAGGTGGTGCCAGCTGTCGGGTGGAAGCTCAGTCAGGGCCAAGGGCCAGGACCCTTCGTTCTTCCCCACAGGAGTCTTTCTGTGAGGACTTCTTCATAGGAAGCTCGGACTCTTTCACAGCACGGTGGCCGGGTTCTAAGCACAAATGATTAAGTACCAGTGTCTTTTATTTTCATTTAAAAAAAATTGGTACCTATTATATGCAAAGCGCTGTGGGTTACAGAGGACTGCAGAGATGAGTAAACACAGGCCATACTCCCAGTGGAATCTGCAGTTCTATTGAGGCATCGCAGAGGGTGGTACTGAGGGTGAACAGTCGTGCTCCAGTAATAAAGAGGGGCGGACGAAGGGCAGAGATGCCAGGGCGGCTGAGTGTGGCTTGAGAATGAAAATAAGCAGTCCCAGCATTTCAGAGCAAGTGATGGGTTTTATAGTATATGTGCCACTTGAATCTTCTGTCCATGAATTCCATCCAAGAAAGACTTTCTCCTTAAGTTTAAATAATTGCAGAGAACAGCAATTTCCAGTGTAGTATGTTAACATTTCAAAATAAAGCCATTATATTCTTCTTTTAAATGTACCCAATAAAATCTAAAAGTCATACTGATTTCATACTACCATCACTTGTTTAAAAAAATACAAAAGCTCTTCATTAATTTTTGGAAGTTTTATATGGCTTTTTTTTCCTCTTTGAATTACTTGTATTCTACTTTTGCCACAGAATTTTTCCCTAATGTAACATATTTTTATGTCTTAAAGTATTTCATTGATCACTCAAGTTAGATCTCTGCAACAAAAACATATGTATTTAAATTTAGAATTTAAAAAATTTCCTGTAACTTTAGTTTCTGAATGTTAATTTTTTAACTTCTGAATGTTAATTTTTTAACTTCTGAATTATGTGTGGTCAATAATTATTAATACATACCTGATGAAATTAGCATAAATTTTGACGCATAGAAACACCAAAGGTAAATTTTTATTAGAAATGTGTATCTTAATGAACAACATGGGGCTTTTCTTTTCAATTCATTCATATCTTTGTAGATATATAGGACTTTTATTAGACTGAACTAGAATTTAGCATTGATCCTTTTTCTTTTTCTTGTTTTATTTTTAAAGAAACACTGAGAAATATTGTTCAAATAAATAAGATGAGAACATCAGGAGTTTTGTTATACCCGTATGCAGAATTCAGTGGTCCCCAAGACCACCCTCCAGTTCAGTAATGTATTAAGTCTCGTAGAACTCACTGAAAGTTGTTAATACTCACAGTTACGGTTTATCACAACAAAAGGGTACAAATTAAAATCAGCCAAGGGAAGAGGCACATGGGGTAGAATCCAGGAGAGTTCCACAGGTGGAGGTTACAGTTGTCCTCTCCCAGTGGCGTTGTGGACAGCACTGAGTTCTCCTGGCAGCCATGTGTGACAACACACATAAAGTATTACCAACCAGCGAGACTCACTCGCACCTTGGAGCTCAGAGTTGTTATTGAGGCTCCAGTCATGTAGATATGGTTGACCACCTCTGTTTCTAGCCCCTGCAGAGGTCAAGCTGATAAAACAAGTCAAAGTCCCTTCTATAAATCCCATTGATAGCATAGACTTTATGACCTCTCCCAAGGCCCCCAGGTAAGCAAAGACACTCTTACCAAGCAGGACATCCCAAGGGTTTAGGGATTTCCTCCCAGGAGCCAAAAGCAAAGGGCAACTTTCTTTGTGGGCAGGGTTAATTCTTTACCATACACTGTACCACTCAGTTATTTGAATTCATTTCTGTAACACACCAAAAATTATGTAATAACTTATTAAAAATTATTTTTATAGCTGACAATTCAGTTATTTTACTGAAAGCAAAGAATTGGAAACCACTGTCTTGCAAAGGAATTTGTTACTCATTTCATTAGAGCCCAGTTAGACACCAATATTTAGAAGTGTCCCCTTGGTTCCCCAGTGGTTTTACACCCTGGAGCAATGTATTACCATAGTTAAATTCCTTATTGGTAAAAGGTAACTTTTGTGAGGTTGGAGAAGGGCAATTATAACAAGAGCTGGGAAGGGAGGAGAAGCTTTATACTTTCACTTTAGTGGTAGTACTTGGGCAAATCAGCTTATAACCCCTGATAAACAAGAGTTATTACAGCACCAAACAGAAAATAACATACAGTAGGATATCAAATGGGACTATTCTAAAATTAATCAGCTCTGCCCTGTAACAAGGGCTGTCTTACTGGCTCTCTCTACCTTAGCCTCTAGTGTGTCCCTACTGGACATGTTGACTCTAAAATTAAAACACCTCTGTCTTCCCTGAGTCCCAAGAATCCTAACATCTGTCTCTGCCACTCTCAAAAGAACTGAAAATTAGAAAATAAAGAAATTAGAAAAATGACAAATCTCTGCACCCAGAGAATACAAGCCCTTTTACTTTATTAAACATTTTAGTTCCCATTGGCTTCACCTTCTCCTTGGAGGAGGCCCTGATTCCCGGATTTATATAACTAAATGCCCCATTATAGTTCCCTCAACAAAAGAGATTAAAATGCAGATGTCAAAACAACTGCTAAAAAGATTCACTTTTGGGGTTCCTGCTATGTATATATCAAGGATTTAGCATAATGCCTATAAATTATTTAAGTAGAAAAGAGGCATGATCCGACCTGTGTTTAGAGCAGTTAGTTATTCTACCAGTGGGAAAACGGATTGGGTAAGGAGAGACTGGAGCATGGGGAGTAATTAGGAGACCTTTGCAGTAGTGCCGAGGTCATGAAGATTTCAGCTTGCAGCCCATGAAATATTGATTCCCAGTCTACGTATAAGCATCAGAATGCTCCCATTGTTTTTAAACTTTTTATGGACATGCAATGAACATACAGAAAAGTACACGCGTTATAAGTGCACAGCTTGTTGAATTTTCAATGTTTTATGTATTTGGAACTTATGTACAAGTTTTATGATTTACCTTTTTTTTTCCCCTAGATAATTTTTATGGTGGGACGAGGATATCTGTCTCCAGATCTCAGTAAGGTACGAAGTAACTGTCCAAAAGCCATGAAGAGATTAATGGCAGAGTGCCTAAAAAAGAAAAGAGATGAAAGACCACTCTTTCTCCAAGTAAGAAAAAGCTTTGTGTTACCTAAAAGGACAGACTAATATCTAGATGCAGATTTTAAAGCACTTTTTAGAGCACAGAATTTGTATGTCGTGAATTTGGATTCCATGTGATTAGGCACATACTCCAAATAAATAACACAAAGATGATTTTATAACGATAGAACAGTGGTACACCTAGAAAGTTAGGATCCCAATACAAAATATTCAGGAAGACTTTGCTTTTGTCTAGCTCAAACTCTTTGGTCTCAGAACCCTTTTATACACTTAAAAATTATTGAAGACCCTAAACAGTTTTTGTTTGTATAAGGAATAATTACCATTTAAGTTTTTAAACTGTTTTTAAAATATATATTTATAAATTTATTTAAACATAATAAAACCATTACATGTTAAATAGTGTTTTTATGAAAAATAATTATAATTTCCCAAACAAAAAAATTAGTAAGAAGAGTAGAATTGTTTTATATTTTTTGTAAATCTCTGCCAAAAAAAAAAAAAAAAAAAAAGACAGCTAGATACTCTGCTTTGCATTCATTATGTTGCAATATCTTAAATGATGTAGCTTCTGGAAACTCCACTTAGACTTGTAAAATAATGACAGTAGAAAAAGCAAATAATACCTTGGTATTATTATGTGAATAGTTTTTCCACAGACCGCCTTTAGAGAACTGCTGTTTTTATTCCTCTGGATGATTTTAACAGAGTCCAAGCTTCCCTTTATTCTGTGTCTTTTTGAGGGACATTTCCACCTGGGGCAGAAAGAAAAGGCAACTGTCAGCGCTGTCTGCCTTTCTCTGATTTTTGGAAAATTTCCATTGCTTTTTATCTGTTCATGTGGTAAAGCTGAAGCCCATAAGCTAGTAATCTTTCAGGAAGCCTCACAAACTGGAACTAAGTACCTCAACAGGCTTAGATCGTTTAGCAGTAGTGGATACTGTAATATAAGTTCAGTGTTTTATGATGCGCAAGAGGCTCCTGATAGCACCCTGCAACTGTGTCTCGGTAAGTCAGTACAGTTTTCAAGTAGAAAGTGCTGACTCCCATAGTTACTCAGCCACCACAATTTGAGTTAGTTTCATGCACGTTATGCCTTCGCCTTGTCCTAGTTGAGTTTCTTAAACAGAAATCACTGTTATAAGAATGAGTGAATCTTTTATTCCCATCGAGAAAATTAAAAATAGAACTTATTGTTTCCCCAGTGTTTCAAGGACTGTCTCTGAGCAGGGAGGGGAGGCTAAATGGTTGGGCGGGTAGATGTATGTTTTACCAGTTGGAATTCTAAGTTACTATTCTTTAGAAGAAGAATTGGTTTTTTTTAACCCAGAAAATCACTGGCTTAAGACTATCAAAGTAAAAGAACAGTATTGTTGGCCAGTGTCAGCAGGATCCTGCACCAGCTTCTCTTTTCATATCCCAGGTGTAGGGTTTCCTATTTAACAAGGTTAATGTACATTAATAATGCAAATTATATCCTTAAGCCCACTTTCAAAATGATATTAAAAGAGACAAAATGTTCATACTCATAAATAACATTTCATGTGGTATCAGAAAATGAAATGCATACATGAATTTTCTGAATTATTGAAGGCTACCCATTTTAAATATTATTTTTAAATTGTCATTACAAGATCTCTTTTCTCACCACATAAACATAAATTTCAGATGGCTGAAGATTTATCTTTAAAAAACAAAACTGTAAAAAATGAAATCATTTTTATAACCTTGAGGTAGGAAAGGCTTTCCTAAGCAAAAGACGAAATCCAGAAGTTATGAAGGAAGAGATTAGCAGATATGACTACATTAAAAGTTTTTAAACTTCTGTATAATGAAAATAATATTGAAAGATAAACACAAAGAAAATTATAGCATGTATAACAAAGAGTAACTATTCATGTTATGCAAAGGACTCCTACAAATTAATAAGTAAAAGATAAACAATAGAAAATGCACAAAAGTTATGAACTGCCAATTCACAAAAGAAATATAAATGATGGATGATGAACTTATATTTCCATCCATGGATGATGGAAATATAAATGATGAACTTAGGACAAGTTGTTAAGAGTTCAGTGACAATCAGTAAAACACAGAGTAACACAAATGTGAAATGTGTTTTCATTTTGCCTCTCAGATTGGCAGTAGCCAACATGGAGCAATGTTGGGAAGTGAGCCTTCCTTTTAAATTTTTTAACAGTATTGGAACGTAAATTGTTTTGGCCTTTTGGAAGGACTTGGTAGAATTCGTAAATTTAAAATGACATATACCCTTTGCTCTGGTCATTCCCCTCCTAAAAAGCTGCTACACAATGTACTTCCACAAGTATTCAGATATATATAAGAATGTTTACTGAATTAGGAAAAATAAAGACATAAAGATCAAGGTAGCTTTCTGTAGACAGCATGGATATCAGTAAAGGAAAAAGCAAGGCAGAAAAATATGTGTATGATACCACTTTAAATGGTGGTGAGTGTGGGGATGGGCTGTGTTTTCATATGTGCATGTTTATGCATAGGAAAGGTCCAGAAGAAAGTATAGACTCTTTAACAGTGGTTACCCCTGGAAGGTAGGATTTATACTTTTCTGTATTATTTGAATTTTCATTTGTGTGTTATGCTTGTAATTTAAAAAATTTGTAACATTGCTTACTTCTTTGCCTTCTTATACTAATCATTATACAGATTGTAGTTTAACTTTTAAAAGTTTTGGTAGCTCAGAAAAATAATAATAGTAATAATGGCTGCTAAAGTTTTATCGCATACTTGCTATATACCAGGCATCACGCCAAGCCCTTTATGCGTATGTCTCATGATTATGAACATGCGTTACCATACTTATGCCTTCTGGAGTCATAACCTGTTTCTTGTACCTTAAATTATGCTGAATTTCTTCATTTCGTGTATTGGTATCTTTTCGTAGTTGTTTCCTGTCTTCTCCTTCACTCTTGGGTTGTCACCTGTCACTTCTCACTCCTCCGCCACTAGCACTCTGGGTCTTTGGGGTCCTACTTTTAATGATGTGTGTTTAGAGCATTTCCCTACTCTAAGTTTCTTTAAAGAATGCGTTGCTCTGATGGTTCTGTTTGAAGTCCTATAGTGCTTTGCTTATTCATGCTCCCATCTCCTTCCCAAAAGGGACTTGCGGTCTGTGAGAAATAGGCATATAATTGGTTTAAAATTTTTATTATTTACTGTTCCATGGCTGGCAAATGATCTAAAATGTAAATAAAAGTTAACTAGGGGTTATTTTCCCCATTGAATTTACAGAGATTAAAGCTATAGTAGTTTGGTAATTTTCTTTTTAAGGAAAAATATCAGTTTCTTAAGTATTTTTCCAGGCATTTAGGATAATACTGAAAACAATGTTAAGATTTCAAGTGCTTTCCTATAAAGTATGACGGGGCTCTTAAAGATTAATACCACCTAGATTTTCATTCCTTTTTTTGTTTTTTTGTTTTTTTGTTTTTTTTGCTTTTTTTAGATTCTCGCCTCTATTGAGCTGCTGGCCCGCTCATTGCCAAAAATTCACCGCAGTGCATCAGAACCCTCCTTGAATCGGGCCGGCTTCCAAACAGAGGATTTTAGTCTATATGCTTGTGCTTCTCCAAAAACACCCATCCAGGCAGGGGGATATGGTGCGTTTCCTGTCCACTGAAACAAATGAGTGAGAGACTATAGGAGGGTAGGGACAAAGGAAAATGAACATGTTTGCTTATATATTTGTTAAATTGAATAGGGTATTCTTTTTTTTAATGGTGAACCAAAGAACACTTATGTTTTTAAAAACTGGATATAATTTTTTCCCAATCTAAAATTCATACTTAAGCATTGGATTTTCAACATCCGGGGGTTTTAAAAATGCATAGACATTGCAAAAAATTTGTAGTGCCTCTTCCAGATGCTTTACTTCCTGTTCCAGGTTTGTTTTGTTTAGTTGGTTATTCTAACTATGAAACTTCAGTTAAACTTTTACCATGTACCTTTTGTCATTAGCTATCACATGTCCTTTAGGGTCTCCCGAAAACAGCACCACTCCTGTGCATCGGTGTGCAGCTGAGAGGCTGACAGTAGGTGAGCCTGTGTCAGGTCAGGCAAACCAAACAGGTCTCATTTAGGAGGTCACTAAAATTGAATAAGCTTATTTTTATTCTTAATGCTTTTTCTATTACCATTTTGTTATTACAATTTGAAAAACAATAGACTAGATTCCTTTTTGTTAATCGTGAGTTCTGATAACTGAAGCTGTGGCTGAGGAATGGCACATTTGGCATGAGTTCCATGGTTTAACTTTGGATTTTTAGCGGGGAAATGTTATAAAATTCAAGTTCCTTTTAGATACCTTTTTATGTATTAAGGATATCTTACGCATACAGAAGCCGAATTTCCTGACAAATGCACTGCCACCTCCTCTCCCCAAAAAGCTTCACAGAATCCTGTGAGAACTCTTAGGTTTGTTTGTTTTTCTTTTAGATATCTCTGGTTGCCAAACACCAGGTAATGAATTTTTAAAAAATTATTATTACTTTAGATTATCATACCTCTCGTGATGCCGTATATTAGCAACCACCTTATCCATGTGTCTTGTAAAATTTCTGTGCTTCTTATATTCTTTGCCGAGCAAGATTCTACTTACTATGAATTAATACTATTCTCTTTTTTGTGTTCCACAGTATGAAGTATTTGTTAGCACTTTCTAGTGCTTACAGTTTCTTGTAAATAATTAATGTGGCAGTCAGTATATTCTTACTGTGAACCATAATCTTACTGGGAATCAGAATTGAAAGAAGCAGTAGTGCTGTCATCTCATCAAAGAAATGCCATCTCTACTTCAGAGTCGGCCTAGACCAGAGCCAGCCTCTTAAATACACCTCCATTTATTCAATTTGAATTTGTGACGATTTTTAAATAGAGCTGACAGTTCAAGTTAGTTAGGCACACAGACAACATCCGCATAAATGCTATCCTTCCTTGAAGCCAATACAGAAGAAAATTGGGAAGGCTTAAATGATAACTTAGTTTTTAAGGACCACAAATGAATTTTCGAAATACTTCTTTTTATTAAGCAGGTTAGATTTCATCCAGGGAAACCCTCAGTGATAAATATAGTATACCTTTTGCCCCCTCATTTGGGTAGTTTAAGATAAATAATGCCATTCATGTTTTCAGAAATTGATTCGTGACCTTCAATTTAGGTAAGAATAGTGAGGGGAAGAAACACTTCTCACATTTTAAAAAATAAGAATAAGAAAAATATAAGATAATGTAACAAGTTAGAAAACATCGAAGTGCATGATTTCTAAGTCCTCCAGTGACACTAAAGATCTGATTAGTAATTATTAGATGGGATTTTATTTATTCACAAATTGAATGGCAAGCAAGTAGCTAAAAAAGTTGTAACAGAATTGACCTGGTCCGTTGCAAGCTCAAATATTTGGGCGCTTTGAGGCAGAAGAGTCAGCGGGTCTTTCTAGCGGTGCAGCTCGTCTCTGCCGCTCCCTGGTGCACTTGCTTCACTCTTACCCTGCTTTTCTTCTCACGGTCCTTTTCCCCCAGCACCATCCACTGCTCACTACACCACCATCTGCCCTTGGCTCCTTTCCTTTCTTTTTTCACCATGTCCTTTGCCAGAGGGCGTTCACTGCTAAGCTCTTACATTCGCTGTCCCAGAAACACTGGAACATGCCCCCAAAGGGTCACATAGTAATCTTTCCACTGGACATGTTAGCGGAAGAGATTACAAACACAGCAGGTGAGATGTTTAGATCACGTGGATCCGGAGGAGTAGGAAGCATTAGAATGATTCGGAGTGGCTTCCTTTTCTGTGATTGTTTTACACTGAGTTTTAGATATATTCTCCAAATAAAGAAAAACTTTATTTTCCTAACTATATGTAAAGTTAATCACTTTAGGTAAATGAAACAGGACATTCATTCTCTTACGACTGACTGCTTCTTTCCTAAAACTAAAACCTGAACCTTCATATATTCATTAAATTGATTTCTTTCTTAAAGAGGCAACCTTTTTATAAAATTTGCTTCACATTTTAAAAGTTTTACTAGTCAGTGATGAGGAATGAGATTTGTCTTCTCTTAACTTTAAGTAGTTTAGGTATCACAGCATTTAATCAAATGTTTCAGGTTTATTTTCAAATATTACAGTATCGTCCTAGCCATTTAAATACTGAGCCAGCAATTAAAATCATTCTCTCTAAAATAGTAACTATTTCACATACCAGCTTAAATGGCCCTTCTCTCAAGTCAGTCACTCTCAATTTAAGGAAATGATCTGCATTTTTTAAATTATGAAATGGGAACTTCATGACTAAAACATCTGACGATTATAGTCATCTTATTTAATTAAGAACTATTGAGCATTTCTGTAGCAGTTTTATTTTACTAAACCTTTCATCTCTCCTATGAGCATTTTTCTAAAGGATTTAAGAAATCCAATACGTCTTTGCCAGAATGTTCCTCATCCTTTTGAAACTGCCTCAAAGGTCACCACAAAGAAAAGATGTAACTTACTCTGGTTTTGAATGACTGGCCCCCTACCTCTAAAGCAGTGATTGCTTTGTGTACAAAATAACATTTTAGATTTCTCATAGCATATTTTATCTTTAAGGGGCATTTTTATCAAATTGTATGTAGAGCAGCCACTGAAATACATTCAATTATGGAATAAAGGGTAATTGTTTAGTAATATCTTAAAACCAGTTCATAAAGTCTTTAGTTTTCAAATAAACAAACCATGCTATTGGAAGTATCTAAAATCACAGGGTCTTCCCAAGTGACTATTAAATAAAGTCAAATGAAAAAGAGAACTGAGGTTCTCAACCAAAAAGGAGGTAAAAATGTTTCATTTTGGCCTCTATTGATTTTTCATTAATAAATTAATATACTGAGATATTTTTTGAAAATCATAGAATATTTGGGTATTTCACATTAAATAACTTCACACAAGCAGAGTTGACTCTTAACCTCAAATGAAATAGGGTGGAGGTGGGATGATAGAGAGATCCAGGTAGGCGAGGAGGAGTGAGCAAGAAGAGCACCCCCACAGCAGACCCACCGCCCGTCACCCCCATCTTTCTCTCACATTTCTGCATGGCTTCAGGAGCAGAGGGAGAAGGAGCTTATTGACCCCCAAACTCAGTTCTTTTTGTCTTTGTTTTTTTCCTCAACCCGCAGTCTAATTATAAAAAGAACCACATTCTGTTAGAAGCAGTAGACTGGTAGGCTGATGTTTAGTGTTTGCTTTATTGGTATTTGGTTTGGACTTTTTTGTGGTTTGGGGGTTTGTTCGGTATGTTTTATTTTTAAGTTTAATATTCAAGTTTGTAGAGTAGAACACTGTTCAACAAAATAGAGTATCTAATTGTAATAATAAGAAACACTGAAGATTTTTTAAGGTTATTTTTTAATGTGTTCGGTAAGATTTGGCTTAGAGTTTATCATTTTCTGATATTTTCTCACTTAATAGATTAATTCTAGCCATTTTTTTTATAAAGATTTCTGTTACGTAAATCCTGTTTTCACATTAGTTTCCTTTAATGAGATTTAGATTCTGCTAGATACAGTGACTTCTCATAAGAATGCTGGAAATTGCTCTAAAGAAATGTATTAAAATACTGAGAAAAAAATAGCAACCTTAAAACCATAATACTCAAACCATAAACAAAGATAATGAGAATGTTTATATATTTCTAGAGTCTCGGTTAATACTCACCAAGGTCTTAGTAATTTGGCTATTTTTTAAATCAGTGCCAAGCTCCTTGCTACTTTTAACTTTAAATATGAGGTGATAATTCTTTTATCCTCCTTGGTCATTTGTCTCACAGTACCTTGGTTCATTGCTTGCTAAAAGGAATCCTTAGATGGAAAGAGATGGTATCACTATTTGCAGCCCAATTAGTAGTTGTATTTGGAATAGAAAAATAAATTACTTATTGAAAATTGTTTAGGGGCTTGTTAACTGTGAAGACCCTGGACTTTGGAGTCAGCACCTGGCTCTGCATTCCAACTCTGCCATTTTCTAGCTGTGAGATCTTGGGCAAGTTACTTAACCACTCTAAACCCCAGCTTGCTCCTTTATAAAATAAAGAGAATAGTACCTGCCTCATAGTTATGAGAATCAGATGCAAATGTGTGTAAAGTATTCAGTGAGGCACCTGCTATATAACAGGCATTCAAGTAGTTGCTAATATTATCAGCATACAATCTGAGGGTTCAAATCAGCCAGTCATTAGCAATCTGTTGTTAGCTGGGACATGCCACTGTTCTCTAGTAAACAAAACCTAATAGCAATCAGAAAATAGATCGGTTATCCCCAGTTTAAATAGAGTAAGTGGCTTCTTGGATTCTCATCTGAAGCTGCTATTAGTTAAGGTGAACTAAATTCTGATAGTTGTCAGTTATTAACCAACCCCCAGAAAATAACTGTAGTGTATACAGTAAGAGGAACCGACCTCTAATTACAAGTAGAAACTGGACAAAATGGTAGGTAAAAAGTAATGGCATGAAGCTCCCAAATTCAGTAAGCTAAAGGAGTATCATCCCTCTAACGAATTTTGTGGTTTAAAGAATTCCTTATGCTGAGAATAACGTTCAGTGACATGTGCCTATATGTAATTTTTTGGTAGTTTAAAAGGTGAAATGAACTAGAAGATGGAGCGTCTGGATTTTCTTTCTGTCAAATGTGTAATGTAGGCAAATCATTTGACCTCTTAATTTTATCTTTTGCGAAATGAGGATAATTCCTGCTTCCTCCTTTCAAATAGTGGCATTGTGATAATGAAAATTAGTTGATAATTCCAGGGGGGGCGGGGAGGGAGAATATTCTACAAATCAATCTTACTATTTTATGAACAATTTCTGAGTATTTTGTTCTTTGAACTGTTTTCAGCTTGATTAGAACCACAGCATGTAAAACCCATCTAGAAAATTATCTGCAGATTTGATAGTTGATTTAACTGAACCATAGTCTACATACTATGTAAGTTACCATCTTTCATGGGTTCCAGCCATTTTTGCTTTTTAAATTAGTGATGATGATGCTAGATTTGTAATAAATAGCTAGTCACCTTTCAGGGAGGTTTCAGTGAGGCTTTTCTGTGTTTCTAGATTATTTGAGATAACTTTTTTTAAAATTAGCTCTTGTCCTCCCTCTACAGGAGAATTTGCAGCCTTCAAGTAGCCACATCATCATGGCAGCATCTACTCTTATTTCTTAAGTCTTGTGTTCATACAGTTTGTTAACATCAAAACACAGTTCTGTTCCTCAAATCTTTTTTTAAAGATACAAATTTCCAATGCATAAGCTGGTGTGGAACAGAATGGAATTTCCCATCCAAGTAAAGAGGGAAGAATGTTTTAGGAACCAGAATTCTCTGCTGCCAGTGTTCCTTCTCCAACACAAGCACCACATGCATACAAGTCTACCCACTCCCAAGAAGAAAGAGGAGAGACCCTGAGTTCTGACCTTTTGATGGTCAGGCATGATGGAAAGAAACCACTGCTACAGCTTGGGAGATTTGCTATGAAAGGTCTGCCGGTCAACTTTGCCTTTCTAACCACCAGATCGATACGTGGCTGATCATCTAATGGGGCAGTTGCAATCACCGAGCATCATTCTCTTGCCTGTTCTGGGATTTCGTTGTGGAGTTCTTTCCCCTAGCCATCACTGGTTAATTTCTGAGGGATGGAACAAAAATGCAGCATGCCCTATCTGTGGAGCATGTTCAGTCCTTGACAAATTTTTATCAAAATGAAGCTATTTTATTTTAATGGAAGATGAGAGGGGAGCAGGAGCTACGTTTGGTGCAGAGGAAACGGGAATGCTGCATCTTTTTCCTGACCTCCTGGGTTTCTGGCCTTTTGTCCCTTTGCTCACTGAGGGTGTCTGCCTAACCACGCAGGCTGGAAAGTGCTGGCACACATTGCCTTCTTTTCTCATTGGGTCCAGCAATGAAGAAAAGTGTTTGGGGATTTTTTTTCCCCTCCACGATAAAGCAGGTTCTCAGGAAAATCTTCCTCCTAAGCTCTTCCAGTCACCAAGTACTTGTGTGGCTTCTTTGTCCAGGGCACAAAAATGCCCTGGCAGTATCTAATTAAAAACCTACAAAACTGCTCAATAACAGTTTTGAATGTGAGACATTTATGTAATTTAAATGTAAGGTACAAGTTTTAATTTCTGAGTTCATTATATTTTTATTAAAAAGAAAATAATTTTCAGATCTAATTGAATTGGAATAAAATAATACATCCCACCAGAATTATATATCCTGGAAAATTGTATTTTTGTTATATAAACAACTTTTAAAGAAAAATCATTATCCTTTTCTCTACCTAAATATGGGGAGTCTTAGCATAATGACAAATATTTATAATTTTTAAGTTAATGGTACTTGCTGGATCCACACTAACATCTTTGCTAAAATCTCATTGTTTCTTCCAACTGACTCCTACACTACATCCTTCATCCTCTTTCTAGTCTTTTATCTAGAATATGGAACCTAAAATAAAAATGGTGGTGTCTTCATTCATTCTCCTTCTTCCTTTTTTCTCAAGCCTGGTCTTCAAAAGGTTGGGTAGTTTGGCAGCTGGATTCCCCAGGCAGAGCATAGACCATCGGTAGGTGTGTTGGGACGGAGGGAGGATGTGTGAAGCCTAATGTCAGTCATTTTTATGGAAGGAGCTGCTGTGGTTTTAAGATCCTTTGTCTTTGTGTAAATGGAAAATATAACCTACTCATAGCTTTCTTTGGCCTTTACTAAAGGGTCATGTAAGTCACAGTAGCAGCAAAGAAAGTGACTGTGGACATATTAACGGCAGATACCTCCCTTATCATGAGTCTAGAATTTCTATCAGGATTTAGGAATATAAATCAAATCAAATGTACTTATCTCAACCAAGCTATGTGACCAAGGATCTGAAAGAAATTAGACAGGACCTATAAAATAAACCAGGGAATTAGAAAATGTTATTGAAAATTTTCAAGTTGTAATCCCACTTGCCATCTTTCAGCCTACTGAAATTCACCGCCATTAGGTGATTTTTACTAAAATACCTGTATTCAGAGGAAGGCCTACTGAAAATTTCATGGACTTGTAAGAGATCCCAGTAAAAGGGAAATATACTGAAGTTTGTAGTGAATTTGAAAAACAGTGTGTTCTTACGTCTTAATGAGCAGAGCAGTGTCTTTGCATTTCAGAAATTGCAAAGATGGAAATGGTTTGTGCTGATTTGAAGAGCATCTCGTGTGCATCATGATGCTGCCTGTCTTTTAAAAGCCTTGTTTATTTTTCTTTTAAAAATATGTCCCCATGGATACTTTTAAACATGCTTCTGTTCCCTTACTAAGATTGCGGAGAGCTGAGCTCAAACAATAGGCATGTCCTGCTGAGCAGGTAGAGCCTGCTGGAGGCTCAGGTGCAAGACTCCTTCTGGAGGGCGGCAGGAGCCAGCACAGGAACTAGTTATGGATGAAGCTTAGCACTGGAGTTTCCAAGCAATATGCAAGGTGATACACTTTTTTCTTCCTTTTTCATATAGGTCGCTATCTCATTTGAAAAGGGGAACAGACTTGATCTCGAATGAAGCTGTGCCCAGGCTCAGGGTATTCTTGAAAGATTTTCATAAAGCCCTTAAAAAATAAAAATAAGTTTTGAAAGTTTTCCCTTTTCTTCCTTTTTCCATCAGATAGTTTTTTCTCTAGTTTACAGTTGACATGAAGAAAGAGGGTCCTCTGAGGTTTACTTTCTTTATTTTTTGATGCTTAACTACAGATAGACATGTCGAGCTCCTAAGGAATACAAGGAAGAACTCCTTGTTTGTGCAAAGCACTTTATGAGTAAATTTGTGTGGATAGTATATGGCTGCTTCACTGATTATCTTGTAAGGCTGTCTTTTCCGTAAAGTGGCTCCAGTGCCTTCTGTAGTGTATTTTATTTGGGGGAAGAAGAGGTGAAGCCTTCTGAAAAATTTGAGAGCAACCTTGAAAGATTGTTTTAAAAGTGTGGTATTCCTGATGGACTTTTAATCATGAAACTACAGTCCGGGGTCTAGACTTTTGCCACTGAAATAATATTGACCAAAAAGTAGTTTATAAAAGAGATTTGTGAACAGAAAATCCAATGTGATTATTCGCAATTATGTGCACCTTAAAAGAAGATTCTGTCTAGCTGTCCAATTCTGGTTCCTGAACATCCAGTCCTTGATTATATGTGAGAACTGGTAGGACATCCTGGGGCATCCTAGAAGGTAAAAATCCCATATAAAGTATATGTGTTACATTCCTGTTGGTGTTGGAGAAGAAGGAGCATTAGGTAATTCTAAAGAAATAGTGCAAGACTTCAGCACTGTCAACCTGGAACTAAATATTTCCTAGATGCCTACTGGGTGCAGTCACAGCTCCTTCATCACACAGCGTTATCTGTTATTCATCGGGCACCGATGGGACGGCTGCACGCAGCCCCGCTTCAGCTCCCAGCCGCCCCTCCTGCACATTTCACCCTTCAGCCTCGTGCAGACCTCATCTAGCTTCATCTAGCTTTAGTTTGAAACATATTGCAGAGTTCAGGTGACCTCTTCAAAAAACTACCTCCTCAGAATGAGGTAATGAATAGTTACTTATTTTAAAATATGAAAAGTCAGGAGCTCTAGAACCTGAAGATGACTTAGGATTTTTAACTTTTATGTGTACTTGTATTTGAGCGTTCTCATTTTGTCCCAAAGGGCATTATACATTTAAACAGTAAAACTGAAAAATAGAGCTCAGCATATCTGAATGTTGTTGCAAGTGGTGCCAGAATCTGTTTAGGGGTACATTTCAGAATCTTAACCTTAAGTCAGTTGCATGAAATTAAATAGTTATGGTATCACTTCACTAACAATGATATACTTTTAATTTTCAGTGGGATTGGCAAGACAGTACATCTTCATAATGAGTTAGCCACAGCTTTGTCACATGCACAGATATTCCTATAGAGAGACTGCCCAGCTAAGAGGGTAGGGAATGATAACCCATTTTGCAAGATTCTCTTCTTTGTTCAAGTTGGCATTGTTAGTGCTAGAATATCAGCACCTTGAGACTAGCAGATTCCAACCATTAGGGTATTTTTTTTTTTTTTTAAATAGCCAGACATGGAAGGTTTACTGTGCGTATGAGCAGGAAATTGCTTATAGGTCATACACTGAAATGGTGTAGGTGAGGCTCTAGAAAAATACCTTGACAATTTGCCAAATGATCTTACTGTGCCTTCATGATGCAATAAAAAAGCTAAAATTTTAGCAAAAATCAGTGATTTGTGAAGAGAGCAGCCACTCTGGTCTGACTCAGCTGTGTTAATATTTTTTAGAGTGCAATTTAGACTGCAAAGATAAATGCACTAAAGAGTTTATAGCCAAAATCACATTTTAAAAAAAAATGAAAAAACACAGGTAAATTTTCAGTGAACAAAATTATTTTTTTAAAGCACATAATCCCTAGTATAGCCAGATATATTTATCACATAGAGCAAATAGGTTGAAATTATAGTTCAGTGACATTTCTAGAGAAACTTTTTCTACTCCCATAGGTTCTTCAAAGCATGGAACTTTTATATAACAGAAATGTTTGACAGACATTTAAAGAAATTGCTGTAGTTTAGGATTGAAGTACTGTATGCTGGGCAGCAACCGTGTGTGTTAGTGAGAAGGGGGAAGGAAATTAAAATATAAGGCAGAATTTGATTTTGTCAGTTTCCAGAGAACTGCTGCCTACCTAGACACTGATTTTTCATTGTTTGAAATGTAAACTTGCCTCCCAGGACTGGTTGGCAAATTAAGTGGGCCTGTGCTGCTAATGTTGTTTGGGGTGGTGTCAGGGCAGATGGGGTCTGTCGGGGGGGCCTCCTTTGTTGGGGGACATCAGAGTAGTTAATGCCTTGGCCAGAGGGTGTGAACTGGACACACTGCATGCATAGTATGCTTCTTGTGTCTTGCTTCATGCTCACCACCCCCAAGAAAGGCAATACACCACCTTGAGCACGTTCTCCAGACGTTTTGCTAAGGTGTACCACTAATGCCACAGGGCGCTAAGCGCCCGAGGAGTACGTAGCATCTCTGCCTGATTGCTGGCCAGCCGAGAGCTAAGTGGCCAGTGTGTGCGTGTTCCATGTTGCTAGCTCGGGTAAAATTGAAAATACTGGTAACATTTTTGTTATATCAGTACACCAGACAGTAAGCTTTTTGTTGTTGTTTTCAGATAACTTATTTTTACCTCTGTTTGGGCAAAGACATTTAAATTGAAATTCAGTCCTAAATGTTGTCAGTATAGAAAGGGTAATTAACAGTTTCAGGTATTTTTAAGGTAGAAGAGGACAGAAACTTAGCCCTAAAATCTTAAAATAAGATAAGTGATTTATTTAAAATGCGTAGACAGTCCCCACCTCAAAAAACTGTTTTAAGTAGATATTTTATTTCAGCACCACAGCTTCAGCTGTTTAATTACTAAATCAGTTTCATTAAAATGTTTAATTTTATTTAGCTGTTTTGACTAATTACAATGTTATAACCAGTTGTGCATGAGGACACAGCAGTGTATCGTTCTTTTGTGATGCATTTTTTAAAGAATTCTATAGATTGAAGTAATCTTTGAAAACAAAGAACTGAATTGTGTTTATTCGTGTTAGTATCAAAAACAAAAAAAAAACAAAAAAATAGATGTGTGCAGTTTGTCTGCCTCTCCTGCAGGCCGAGCACGCCGTCCAGCACCCCTAAGCTGCTGGTTCTCATCAGTTTGTCTGTAGGGAATCGGGCATGAGGTCCACTTAGGAGACGTGGCGGAGGAAGGGTTCCGTTGACAGGGTGGAAGTGGGGATTATGAGTAGGTTGCTTAGTACTGGTTTTCTTTTGAAAATTATTGTGTCGCATTTGTGTGTGGAACTATTTTACCCCATGTGTGTTTTGGTGGAGTCTGAGTTACATAGGAGGAAACTTCAGACTAGCATAAGCAACAAAGCTCATAGACTAGGCACAAATATAGAGAAAATGGACCAAATAGGATGGGGGAGGGCATGGGAGTAAGTCTGAGGGTAGGGAAAAATGGACGTGAGGGTGGGAAATAAACCATAATTATCTGAAATAAAATGTAAGAGTGCAATAAGTGTGCTTTTTACTAAGCTGTGAACGGTTTTTTTAAAAATCATTCCTTATATATTTGTGTATGTTCTATAGCTGATTAAAACCAGCTATGTAAACATAATGCCTTTTTACTCACATTAATTACCAACATAAGTGGCTAACCTTTATGTCTTATTTATCTTCATGTTTTATTAGTTTACATACAGGGGCGTATGTATGCTGTACCCTTTCCCCTCCCTCGTTTGAAAATGCATTCATCGGGTCCCCTGTGTGTTGCCCTTGTCGATGCTATACTTATAGTCTGTTCGGCCTTCATGATGTCGCCTGATTTGAAGGACTATCAGCGATATATCTTTGTGGTGATCTCATTTGTTGGTTGTACACTCTGACCCTTTCGTCACTCAGCAATTGCTGCTTCTCCTAAAATAGCTCAGAACTGGTCAGGGGATTGAATGACCATTCATTGACATATGTTCCTTTGAATTCTATTCAATGGTTATGATTGCTCTTTGGTTTGGACCACAGAAAAGGAAATCACCCCCCTTTTCGTTTACTCCTTGGTTTGAGGACAGTTCTTCTGTAAGGGAGAGGAAAGGGAAGTCCTTCATGTTTTAACTGAGATGAATTAACTGCTCCTGGTTTACCACTCCCAACCTTACGGCAACTCACATACACATCCTCTCCTCTCTTGTTGCCAGAGGTTCAAGTTTAGTTCACTTCAGTCCCACTCAAGCATTGAAAAGGTTCTCATGGAGTTGGGTGTGCCCAGTGAAAAGATGGGGACTTTTTAATTGTCCACAGACCTCTCTATAACTGCTTTGCAAAAATTACTATGGAGTAACTATTTTTAAAGCTTATTTTTCAATTCATAAAAAAAGACATTTATTTTCGGTCAAACGATGTGTCTCTCTTGTCCCTTAATCCTCAGTGTTTGCTTGAATCTTTTTTTTTTTTTTCCCCGATTCTTCCCCAGACCCACTTCTTGATACTTCGGTTCTCTTTCCTGCTCAGGTCCTTTCATTTGTACTTTGGAATTTTTCTCATGTAAATTTGTACAATGGAAAATATTGTTCAGTTTGGATAGAAAGCATGAAGAATTAAATAAAAAAAGCTGAAATTCAGATTGAAGAAATTTATTTCTGTGTAAAGTTATTTAAAAACTCTGTATTATATAAAAGGCAAAAGTTCTATGTACTTGATGTGAATATGCGAATACTGCTATAATAAAGATTGACTGCATGGAGAAGTCTTATCAAGATTATTTTTCTAGCACTCGCACATTCAATAATGGAAGTAGCCAGGGTTTCGACAGTTCTTCCGGGCAGTGGAAGAACTGAGAAATGCACAGTGTTTCATACATAATGTCCTTTACTGCTTGGTGGGTAGAAGTTACTTATAGGAGAGAAAGTTTTAAGGTAAGTCATCCAGATGAACGCCTCTTGCCTTGTACCTGCCTCATTGTAATAGCAGTGACATTCTTTTGTCTGGTGTTGGTGATGACCCTCAAGGGTTTTATGCTGGGACCTGACTGCTGCCTGCCAGGGGCTCAGTTGGAGTACAGGCTGTAATTGCCTCATCTGAGGAGTCTCTCTGGAGAAGTTCCCCTTACTGTTGTATCTTTCAAACTTTCCTGACACAACCTGCAATAATACATTTTGTGTAGGAACACAATGTACACACTAATATATATATTTGAAACTATGCACACATTTTTACTTCATTTTTTTTAAATGCTGGCTATCCCCGATGAGTTGATTTTGTGCATCTGGTGTCAATACCTGAAGTTTGAAAGATTTACCTAGAGTATCCTCAAACTATGTCTATTACTGGGCAAAGTTTCCAGAGGAGAGGTAGGCACTTCTTAAAACTTCACCCGGAAACCCTGTTTGAGAACATGAAGGACAGAAGCGTCTCCCAGATGGCACCTGTTTGAGGAATCTGGTTTCTGGTCTTCATGCCCCTCCAACTAATCATCAAATGCTGTCCAGACCTAAGTATTTTTTTTCTGAACTGCAGTTTTCTTACCTGGAAAATATAATTCTGCAATGTGTTTTAGAAACTCATTTTCTAAATAACCTTCACACATGACTACAACAGAATTGCAGCCTTATTTTAAAGAATGTATTATCCTGTGAGGTTTTCCTTAAAATTTAGCCCAGAATTGTGAATGCTCTAATTATTGTGATAAAATTCTATTATAAAGAATCCCACCACACTAGCTTTCCTGAAATTTTTATCAGAAGCTGTGATAATTGAACCAACCTCCCCTCACCTGCTGGAACCCCGCTGGACTTCCTGTTCGTTAAACAGTGACTGGGCCCACCCTAGACTTTGGTTCTGCTGTCCCTTGTCCTTAGAGCACTCTTCCTGAAGACCCTCACACTGGTTCCTCCTCCTTGTTCAGGTTGCAGTTCAAATGCCTTCCCTGTCAACCCCAAAACCACTCGCCTCCAGCACGTCACCCAGTGTTATTTTCTTCACAGTAGCACTTAGTAAACCTTGTCGTCCCTTCCTGAAATCTAAGTTCTCTAAGAACAGACTTTTCTCGTCTTGTTTAGCATTGTATTCCCAATGTCTAGGTGGCTAAAAACCTAAATTAAAAATGCGAAGTTATGCTTCTAGGCAAGTCATTAAGCCACTCTATACCGCAGATTTTTATCTGTAAATAGAGAAAAATTCTGTCCCACCTACTTAGAACTGTAATGCTACACCAGTTCGAACGTACTTGGAAATAAATTTTAGAAAAAGTTCTATTTCACCCTTCTCCCCCATTCCTCCAGCCCTAAGAATTCCTGGTTAGAAATGTCTTGATGAGTTCCACAAATGGCCACTCAATACAGTGCCCAGCCCAGTTAGAGATATGTAAGCACAATAAATGGACAGCCCTGACCTCTCACCTCTTGTGTATTCAGGGCGAAACTATATCATCAGTAGAGAAATGGCAACAGTTTTCACACTTACTGTCCATATATGTCTAAGACATTAGCTAAGGAGGCAGGCAGTGTGACTAATTACGTGTGGGGTCAGACCTAACGTCGCCAGTCATCAGTGTGTGACCCTAAGAAAGTTACTTCATCCCCTTGAGCTTCGATGTCCTCACTGATAAATGGAACTAGCGGCTACCTGCGCCAGGGGTTAGCCAAAGGGATCCACTGAAGGGCCTATAACCAGCTAGCACAGCAATTGGGGGCACAGAAAACAATCTGTGAAGTGTATCTGTCATCATCAGAGACATCCAGAACTCAGTTCCTCATTCTTGACCAAAACGCTTTAATTTACAACTTTAATATACAATATGAGGTCCATAATTTCTTGAAATTTTCACCTAGCTCCTGCAGGAAAACAAAAGTGGAAAGTTTTAAGTACTTTTATTTTCAATAATTCAAATCCATAATTCTCTCAATTATTCAAGCATCCACTGAGTAGCCTTGTGAGGAGGGAAGCAAAACCACCTTGCTCTCTCAGAGTTTACAGTCTGGTTCTTAAAATGTTTTTAATTATGTGTGGGAATAGTGGGGAATCAGAAGACAGAAGAGGTCAGTGCTGACAGACATGTTCACACAGGCGGAGCAGAAGGCCGTTAAGAACTGGGACCTCTGTCCTTAACAGAGCCAGAAACATGTGACGAGCTGTCAAAAAGCTTAGCTGCCTGCCCTTCCATGACATTTTTCCCATCTCCTCCCTACATAACCAAAAACTGCTGTAATTTTCATGTCGATAAGCTACTTCTAATTAAAATTATAAAGGCAATACTAATAACATGATTTAATGGAAACAATTAACTATCATTTAATGCTTCCCATCCTTTAAAACACTTTCCAAGGCATTCTGAATGATGGCAATTATAATTGTGTACTGATTAATTTAAAATGTTAAATGAGAATGTCTTAACCACTGGGGGGAAAGAAGCTCCTCCTAGCACCTTTCTTCTGAAAGAAGAAAAACTGACTTCCTGATCTGGAAAATGAAAGGGTCATAACCTTTTACTGTTTAAAGAGTTAATAACCATGCAACTCCATATCGTGATATTCATGGATGCATTTCCATGTAAATGCTAAGGGCAGAACACTGTAGTATTTTTGCAACTACAAACATATACTGTAAGCCTCTGTCTTGTCCACCCCTGTAATCTCTGTGCAGAGCTGGTACTTAAAAGTCTTTGATGGATAAATGGGTTCCTAAATTTTAACAAAACTTATGAAAAAAGAATTTTTAAAAACATACAGTTGAAAAGGAAGATGAGACCAAAGGGGGGCGGACAAATGTGAAAATATAAAAGACAAAAATGAGACACGTGATATAGTCAAATGTTCTTCATGCTGTTAGAAAATGCATTTTCTTTGAGACCATCATAGGTACAAAGCCAAAACATGTTTACTGTCCAAAGGTAAATATACCTTTAAAAAAGTAGGAATTTGGGGCATACTCACTTGTAGAGTCGAGTCTACACTTTCAGTCTTCGTCATCAGGAAAGATACCTAATTCTTCATCCGTCCACTGGGAAGGATCTGGATATGGAAAGTGACCCTGGTGACATTATTTAAAAAAAAAAAACAGTCAATAACCTATACTGCTCACAATTACATTTAAAAATTTTTTGAAAAGAAAAACATGTCATAAGGCTATTATATACACAGCCCTTGACATAACATAGGATCAGATTCTCTAACTACTTGATGGTCCAACTGGCCTTCAGTCTGTTCAATGGAAGCTGTGGCCCAAATTTTAAAAGCCTGCCATTTGGAAGCCACCAGCCTGAGCCAGCACTCAAACATGTGTTTGTGATGGAGGGCTGGGGGATGGAGGCCAGAGATCTCAGAGCTACCCAACATCTCAAACGGCCCTGTCGTTCCAACTGGGAGCCTGAGGAGCCTCAGGTGGACTCGTTCATCTTCCACCCCGATCTAAGGCGCGTCTGGCTGTGCCACCATCTCACGCCAAATAGCCACCCAACAGCCACCCACAGTGTGATAGGTGTCTACGTGCTGCCAGTTCACAGACACTAGGCAGCTCTTTTTTGTTTTGTTTTGCTTTTTTAGGTGAGGCAACCCTTGGCTGACCTCACAGATTGCAAGGACCTTGTCAGCTTACAATCCCTTATTTTTTTATTTTTTACGCCTACAGCACCTGGTCTTCCTAGGTGGTCTCCCATCCAAGTACTAACCAGGCCCGACCCTGCTTAGCTTCTGAGATCAGACGAGATCGGGCTTGTTCAGGGTGGCATGGCCGTAGATAAGGCAGATTCTTTTGGGGCAACAAGGGCACAGAGAAGTTCTAAGAGAAATGGGATATTAATCAACTCAATGCTTTTAAAACTTGTACACTGTTTAAATTTAACATTATTTTCCTACCCTGAAAACAAAACCAAATTTACTAAAATTCAAAGTATTCTGGATCAACAGGCACAGATTTCAGTGGCTTAAAGGTGTCATTTCCTAGAGAACAGGGTCTGTGCAAACGCAATAAAAGCTCAGGTGAGACTAAGGATGTGTTAGAAAGTCACCAGGAACTAACTTCCCTCCTCAAAACAAATTAGCCCACACCTACCCCACCCAACCTGGGCCTCTGCACAGAATAGATAACATTCATCATTTAAAGGATTTAAGTGTGAAACTTAACCCACCCAAGAACACCTAGTTTAGAGGGTAAAAGAATTAATTTCTAGTCTCCCTCCGAATATGGCAAACTAACAAACTATAAGACATGGACTACCTACATATGCAAGCTTGAATATGAAAGGTGTGAAATGTTTTATTAAATAACAGGATTCCTGCATGTACAGAGAATACCATGGTGACAGGATACACAGTAGTCCTCCCTTATCCATGGGGATTACGTACCAGGACCCCTAAGGGATGCCTGAAACTGCAGATTATACTGAACCCTACAAATACTATGTATTTTTCCTATAGATACATACCTTTTCACTTGAAGGAAGCAATTTACAGCTTCTCTTTGGCATGCCCGAATTGCCGATTTTGCTTTGGGGCCATTACAAAGTAAAATAAAGGTGACCTGAACATAAATACCATGACAGTTGATCTAATAATTGAGATGGCTACTTAGTGACTGACGGGCGTGGAGACGCTGGACAAAGGGGATGGTTCTCGTCCCAGGTGGGGAAAAGCAGGACAGTATGAGATTACATCACACTATTCAGAATGGCGCACAATTTAAAACTTATGAATTGCTTATTTCTGGAATTTTCCATTTAATATTTTCATACCAAGGTTGACCCAGGTAACTGAAACCACAGGTAAGGGGGAACTACTGTATCCAGATAGAAAAACTGTCTACAAACAGAAAAAAAAATAAAAGTAAACTATTAATATTTCTTCCCTCCCCCTACCCACGAAAAAGAGAAAAACACCCCCTGCACTTGCCAGCACAGCATCTGAGTCGTGCCAAAAGCGCCAGAGAATCCAGAACCACATGGTCCCGCTGAAGAACTCGGCCTGGAGCACCTGAGATCTGGTCAGCTGGGGGAACTGCCGGTACTGGGGCTCGATGTGCACGCCGCCGCCAGCGCTACGGGACAGAAAGATGACGGTGAGCAGCCGATGCATCTCCACAGTATTATGTTACGGCATCCGAAACGTGGAGCTACATCCAGAAACTAAACCTAACGTTTCTCATCTCCACCACATACAGAATGATAGAGCTCCACAGTCTCTCAAAATACTCATTTCTCATAAGCTTACTTTAAATTTGTGTAGCAGCAAAAACTAGCCTGAACTGACGAGAAGCTAATTATGATTTCCTTTAGCGACTATTCATGTATCTTGTACCAGAAATATGAATGTGTTGATAATGGGGTACTGGCCCCAAGAGTTTTAGTAAAGAGACTGTGAAGGCCTGTACCAGGTCACTTGTTTATCGAGAAAAACAAACAAGCAAATTAATTTTGTCCTATTTAGCCATCTATTTCAAAGGCAAATTATGTCCTCTGCTCTATTACAATCTTTATTAAAAGACTCAATCTTTATTCAAATCCACTCTATCAGAAAGAGGACTCAGCAAATCCTTTTTAATAAGCTAATAACTGTGAGCAAAGCAGAGCTTTAAACAGTAAGTCTGAACAACTTTTTCTGATTTTTTTCATTGAGATACTGTTGACAAGTTGTGAGACACAATCCATGAGGGCTGTGCTGAACAGCCCTCCAAACTGAAACAACTACGAGGCTAGATGAAAATTTTTTTTAAAGCTTAATATATTACTGACCAGACACAAAAGGAAGGACTCTACGAAGGGCAAAATCTAAGTAAAAACAAGGCCTGGAAACGATGCAAGCGCCAAAGCTGGCATTCACTCTGAGGGTTTCTTCTATTCCCCAAAGTCCTTGAACCTACAACTGGACAGCTACATGGGGCGAAGGGGACAAGAGAAGCAGCTGGGGCCCAGGCAAGATGGGAAATCTAATCACTAGACCTCTGAATACAGATGCAGCCCACAACGTAAGAGTGAATGAGAAACAACCTGCCCTGGACAGAGGAACAGCACTCTGTTACCAGCAGCCAGTCCTCAGGTGGGTCTGCATCCAAATTCACACACTGCCTGGGTTGAACCTGTGTGGCAGGTCCAAAACACCTCCCCCAGACAAGAATTTAAAGTGATCTTGGATTGAGACCGCCCTTGAGAAGCAAAATCTAAAAGAATTCTGACAGATCAAGCTTCAGTAAAAACGAGAAGCTCAGTCAAAAATTACAAGAAAATAAGACTATGAATGAAGATCTGCAAAAGAAACCACGAGACTTAAAAAATGGATAATTACAATTATACTACAGAAAACAAAGTAATTTTTAAATAAATGTGCGATTAAGAGCAAGAAACAAACCATAAATCAATCAGGTTTGATAAAAAACACAGAATTTCTAGATATTAAAAAATGTAATCATTTAGAATAAAAAGGATTAAAGCCTGACTTAGACACAGGTAAGGCGTATGAACGAGCTTAGGTGGATGACAAAACCTAACTGTTTTTCCATATGCCTAACTGGTGTCCCACATGGAGAAAACAGAATGAAGAAGAAACAATATCCAAAGAAATGGCTGTTCCAAACCAGAATTTTTAAATGTCAAGTTTAAACACAAAAATGCACCATAACGCTGAGAAAGTTGTTTTTAAAACATAAACAGGGTCATATTATTTTGAAGTTTACAAGCTTCCCATGGCTTCCCATCCCATTTACCTTTTGTCACCTGCAAGGCCCTCCCCACTCTCCCTCCACCCATCTCTCTGACCCATCTCTACCCCTCTCCCCTCGGCTCACCCCGCTCCAGCCTCTCCCATCAGCAACACAGAGCCTCTACATTTGCTGTCTCCTTTGAGAGGCTCTTTCTGGAATCTCTGCATGGCTGACTTCTCACCACTCAGGTCGTAGTTCAAATCAAACTCTTAAGTGTGCATTCCTACATCATCCTACATACAGAACCCATCCCACCGCACGCCCACCCCAAGCACTCTAGATTAATCCTGTTTTATTTTCTTCATGCCACTTAACAGTACCTATGAACAGTAAATATGTTCTTTCTTTTCTACTTGTGTCCTCTCTCCAGAATGAAGCTTCATTATCTTTCTTGTATTCTGCTCTAACCCCAGCACCTAGAAAGTATCCTGGACTCTAGAAGATACTCATAAATACTTATGACTCACGCTGTGAAATCAATGTGTGCTGTGGCAGTACCAAGACTTCAGCAAAGAGGAGCACCCCCGCAGACTCCCCACACAGGGTCAAGGGCTACTGCTGGTGGCTCTCCATCACTGTCTTTGCTCAGGTCACACAAGCCTTTTCCTTCTTCCCACCTCACACCTGTCTCAGCTCCATATTCTTAATAGACATGTGACTTTAGGCAAGTCACTCCTTTAATTTCTCTGAATCTCAGTTCCCTAACAAGTTAAATAATACTTGTAGGGTCCTTACTAGGCACAAGCAACTGTCCTAAAACACTTTAGAAAACTGTAATTCATTTAATCCCTAGAAGTGAACGTCACCCCCCATTATACAGGTGAGAAAACTGAGGCATAAGGAGATCAAGAAACTTTTCCAAGGTCATACAGCCAGAGTGTGGCAGGCACTACCCTGCACTACCTCCTGGTAAAGTGTAGATGATGGTCTAATGAGCCAGGAACACCACCTAGAAAAAAACCAGTGTACGATTTTCAGTCCTGCTCTTACTGAAGCTCCCTGCACTACCAACCTGTTTCTGGCAGCTGTGCCCTCCCTTGGCATCCCAGCACCATGCTCTCCGGCTGGCTTCTTGGGCTACATACTTCACTGGGTGGCTCTTTTGCTCACTCTCTTAAATTCTGATGTTGCAAGAGTGAGCCCTAATGGAGACTATGAATTTGGGTGGTAATGTGTCAGTGTAGCTTTATCCATTTTAACAATTATGTACCACTCTGATGGGGATGTTGATAATGGAGGAAGTGATGCACGTGTGGGGGCAAAAGGGAAATACGGGAAATCTCTGCACCTTCTGCTCAATTATAGTATGAATCTAAAACTGCTCTTTAAAAAAAGCCTTTTAAAAAAGAAAGAAAAATTCTGATATTGCCCAAGTATCCACTTTTGGCTCTCTCTCCCTTCCCACCCTGCCACTCTCTCTCTAGTGGCTGTCTCCACACCCATGCATTAGAGAGCTAATTCACCCTGAAGCTAGAGTGATTTTTCAGAATTAAAATCTGGCCAAGTGACGTGTAACTGAAACCTCTCAAAGACCGCCACTGCCTTTTAAATTCTTCAGCCAGACATCAGGACCCTCTACCATTCCCTCCCTATGCTCTCGACCTCCGCCGGTCCCTGCCTCGCACTTGACGCTTCAAAACACACGGCACAAGCTGTTTCCTCGGCCAGGACCGCCCGCGCTTCCCCAACTCCTGCTCTCGCTTCCAGATTAGCTCCAGTTTGTGTCCACACCCTACTGGCTCCCCTGGTGTGGGGATAGCCCGACACTGTTTAATACGTGCCAAGCGCACAGCCTCACCCGACCCCCTGTGTACCCTGTGTACCCCGCTCCCCCGTCGGGAAACGGGAGCGAGGCACCGCCCCCACGCGCGGTCGAACTACAAGTCCCAGCATGCCTCGGGCTCGGGGGTGAGGGTCGCTGCAAGGGCCGGATCTGCATCCGCGCAGGCGCCCGGCGTCAAGGTGAGGACGTTCGAGATACTGACGCTGTCTGTTAGAAGCAGGCGAAGCCCCCACCCCCGCCAACACTCACTGACGGACTCCTCCGCCTCCAGCCTCCCGCAGGCTGAGGCCTCCGAAGAGGCGGCCTCCGCCGCGAACGAAGGGCGCCAGCCGCGTCAGAACCGACATGCCTGCCCGCGTCCGGACAGTCGTCCCGAGGGCCGCACCGCCGCCCGCACGTCACTTCCCCCCGGCGCCCCGCCCCAGACGTCAGCGGCGTCGCCCCGCCCACCTCCCGAAGGACGATGTCTGAGGTGGAGGGATACGGCAGTTCCTGTCCCAAGTTAGCACCTCAGTCCCTTTCCAGGGGAGGGCCGCGCGCTCGGAGGGACGCGGCGTGTCGTGGTTTAGCTGGTGAGGAGGTGCCTTCCGAAATGTGAATGCTGTAGGCGACCTAAGGCGTTGCTAAGTGACGGCCCTGACGTGCTCCGCTAGGCGGAGCCACGCTTTCGGCCGCGGGAAAGGCGCACCTCGGAGCACCTGTTAGTAAGGCGTGTGCGAAGAAATTCTAACATTGAGTCTGAACTCGCTCCGCCCTGGGCGGGTCCGTTTTCCCACCTGAACCTGCCACTCTTCCTGCTCCTCCTGAATTAACTGCCCCCCAGACCCTCTTAGGCTGCCAAATCCTGTGTGAACCCGTGGTCCTTCCCAATGCTAGTCCTTTTAAGTCATCTCTCCTGCAAGAGGCTCACAGCAGATCTTTTATTGTTGTTGTGTAAACCTGAACTTTACCCACCAGCAACCAGTGATTCCCAAACATCAATACTTAGACTAGTGGCATCAAGAGTCACCTGAGGAGCCCGGCCCCAGATACCCTCAGTCTGGAGTAGGGCCAAGGAATCTGCATTTTAGCGTGGTCTCCAATTTATGCGGTGCTCCTAATTCCTTGATCCTGAACCACACCCGGATTCTCGGTTTTTGTCTCTTCCTGTTGCCTTCTGTTAAATCCTGGATGGATTCCATGCTTCTCTAAACGCACCTCCCCAAATTCTTACGGTCTCCACTTACGGGCTATGGTATTCCTAGGCACCTCCAAGTTTGATTAATTTTTAAATTTAGCCGGCCAGCCTCACACCTTGGCGATTTTAATTTGAAATGGATCACTTGCTAAGCAGTGAAGACTTCACGGTTGGAGTCACAAGCATGAAAAGCAGGATTTTATGGAGAAAAATGTAGAGCTGAATTTAGGGATTTGAGTACCTAGAATATAACTAATACCCCTCCTCCAGGGCCAGGATATGGGCCTCCATGTGCCTTGTAACAGGAAATCTCCCTAGAGTGAGGCCCACTTAAAGCATATGATTGCTGAGCTGCCCCACACCCTTCTGAACAGCCTATTGATTGACCCTCTGTCCCTGTAGACTCTCTCTTGTCCCTCCTATTCTCTAAGTATATAAATTAGAGGAAAAAATCCACTATTTTTTGGACAAAAGTTGACTTTCCAGTTGATGTACAACAGTGTAGCTGTCTCTGGGTTACCGTTCACCACTTCCCTTTTGTGACAGGTGCAAACTACTAAGATAGGAAGATCATGATTTAGGAAGACAGGGCTTGCCATTCTTCCTAGGGAACTCGCTCCCCAAGCTACACAGCCGCCTTGGTCCCAAGAAAGAACAATGCTATGATTCCAAGGCCACACACAAAAAAGCACGACTTAAACAAAAAAAGAGCATTGAACTTGAAGTCTGAAGATCTGGAGTTCAGACTTCAGCTCTGCCAATTATTAGCTCTATGAATCTGGACAAGTCACTTCTATGAGAGTCAGCGGCCTTCATCTGAATTTGGGTCATTTAAGATAGTACCTGGCCCACAGCATGTACTTAGGAAATTTTTATTCTTTTATTATACCTCCCTTACCTGAAAGCAAAAGCTATTCAGGTGAACTAAAATTAACTCGCCCTCCCCATCTTTCTTGCTGAATTACAAAACTAAAAGTTTTAACTTCAATGTTTGGATTTAAAGTAATATTGTTTAACAGACCATATGTGCAGTCCTTAGCTTTAATGTTTTATATCACAAATTCTGATTCTTTTACTATAAAAAGTTTATGATCCCAATCAAACTATTTTGAGCACATAGCAGTTATACATTTTGTTTTGCAGGCATGCTCTAAGAACTCCAGGGGCAAATATCTCTTACTGCCTTTTGCAGGTTGCATGGTAGCCCTTTTGGTTTTCAGATGAGCCCCCTATTTGAATGGATGCATTTTAGAAGGTGAGGGAGAGGATGCCAAGCAGTGGCACTGAGCTCTCAGCTTCTAAATGCAAATCAAATTACCAAATTTTGACAAACTGTGAGAACAGACTATAAATGACCTAGCATAGAGCATCTAACCCCAAATCAAGACCTTATTCTATAACTGGAAATAAAAAACAAAGCAAAGGAATGAAAAAAATATATTGTTCACAAGACTTCATGTTTATTTAATTTCCTACTCTTAAAGACTTGCTTGATCTCGCTTTCCCTGTCTCAGGACGAAAAAAGGAACTTTCCAGTGGTTTTAGTAACACTGAAATGAACCTGTACTTTCTAGAGGAGATTGAGCTGTGGTCTTTCAGGGTCAATGCCAGGCTGCCACTGTATCCACTTACACCCAAGAAAGTATTCTTTTCTTCTTAAGATGATGACTTTATATAACTAAGTTAGCATTTTTAAGATACTTATTTTAAAATTCAGCAAATTACCTATATCAAAGCGTACCATTAACCTTTTTTCTCCTCTTTGATACAGCCGTGTTCATTTTCTGTTGCTGCTGTAACAGCTCCTGAGGAACTAAGGCCCTCGGTCCAGCAGCCCACAAGGAACTGAATTGTGCCAACAACCACATGAGTGAGCTTGACATCAGACCCACCCCAGTGGAGCCTCAGGATGCCTACAGCCTGTGCAGGACCCTGAACAGAGGACCTGGCTAAATGGCACCTACATTTCTGACCCGCAGATACAGTGAGGTAATCCATGTTGTATATTTGTGTGCAGTGATAGAGAATACACACCACAGAGGGCTTCATTACATCCACTGGCTGTAAGGAAAGGTTTAGTGGTGCTGGTGTAGGCGCAGGGAGACGCCTGCTCTGCGTGTACCCCGCTCCTGCCCCACGGTGTAAGTGTACGTGCACCCGGCACAGGGCCGTGGGTCTGGCTGGCGTGTCCGTGAGGAGGCAGCCGAATAGCACCACTGCCCCTCCCAGATCCCTGGAGCCACCCCAATCCCTCACGGTCTGATTAGAATGCCTTCCCCTCAACACTTGGGAAGTAAAAATAACATCCCCACCCCTCTGAAAAAAACTGCACCATAGGTATCCCTGTCTAAATAACATTATTTGCCCCCTAAACACCAGAAATGAGGAACTTAATCCTTGAGAAGGAAAGAATGGAAGAATCTAGTCCTGTGGCCAGAGCAGGGCTTTCAGAAAGCAGGAAGGCTTGACTTCTACTCACTGTCTAGAGCAGTGGTCTCCAGAGCAAGCAAGAAACACGGGAAAAAATACTATTTTTATTTAGAAAAATAAGAAATTAAGCTTTACTAATATCCACTCTACAAGCAAATCTGGGATCCTCTTAGTCCACCTGGGCCAGCCACGGGTTAAGTCAGCTTTGAGAGAACAGTCCCATGGGTGGGCCCAGCGCAGAGGGACATGCAGTTGCCACTACCCCTTAGTTCACTGCTGGAGTGTAACTGGATGTGACTGCAGATTTCAAGCCCTGGTTAAGAGGCTATACTGACTATATTATCTAGATATTAATATGAACCAAAATTAACGCTGGACAAATGGACAAGGGCCTGAACATAGCTCAGAGAAACCTGGGTCTGAACTAATATGTGAGCACAGGGGAACTTTAAAAAGAGAACAGAGCTGATTCTGCTCCTGTCCCTAGTATGTCAGCCACATTGCTTTTTTTTTTTTTTTTTTTACTTTGTAATAAAGTTTAGAAAGAGGTCAGCAAAAATTATTAAAAATTATAAAGAAGATAATTTGAAGTACAGTGAAATTTCCCCTAAGTGTATACTGTGCCTCCAGAGATTTGCTATTGGTGGCCTCACTTGCATAAAATTTATAAATTATACATATATATGTATATAAATATGTTCAACTTTTTACCAATAAGGGTACATAAAAGAAAAATTCGAAGCTATGGGTCTGCAGGGTTCTGTGACAATTTCTAACCTAGGAGTCCAAGAGAACCCACCTGATCAGGGAGCATAGAGGGTTAAGAAGAGAAGAGAGAGAAACAAGAAAACAAAATAACTAAGTTTATTCATCCTCCACAGAACAGTTCAACTTCTACAGCTGAACAGATAGGACCCTTCCCTCCTTTTACTTCCCCAAATAACCGAAAGCTGTTAAAACAGACACTTGAAACCAAATCAGTGAAAAGCAATGGCCTGCCTTCCACATCCCCATTTTAAAATGTTCAAACTGCCACAGGAGAGGCTGTTGGGAGTGGACTTTAGTTCTGAGCTAACGGCCAGTGCATGCCACTGCCACAGTCACGGGGAGGACACTAGTTCTTTCAGAAGGAAAGGCTTTGCTGCCTCCAGGATGTCCAGTTTGGGGTCCAGAGAGCGACCAAGCCCCTCCAGCACCATGATGGCAAACACAATGGAGGCAAAGTTGCTCTCAAGCTTTACCTGAAACAGAAAAAAACGTGGTTCTTTCCAAAGCCCATTGATAAATAGAGAGAGTTCTGGATAACCATGTTGCTGTTTACTCTTGGCCTTTTGTACCGGCCCATGTGATTTTTTGCTATCCACCTAACATTCTTTCCCCCTACCCATCGTTTTCCCCACCGTCTCATCTACTCACCCAGCTTCCCATCCACTAGTATTACTAAGGAAAAATCTGAGGGTACGGTATGTACTTCTCTTGTTGTGTGTGTATGCGAATGATTTAAAAATAATAAAATTAATATTTCACAGATATACCGGAAACTATAAATCTAAATAAGGGTCATTTTGCAAAATATACAGTAACCTTGTTAAGAAACCCCGTACAACCGACTTTGCTCACGCACAAGTGGAGCTTTTTCCACTTTAGAGCCAGGTTAATGGTAAACTCATTTACATCAAAATTGCTCAGTTAATTCTCAAAAGTGCTATCTCTGTCCCCATTCTATAGATCAGGAAACTAAAGCTCAGGGTGCTTAAGTGACTTGTTCAAGCCACAGAGTGAGAAAGAGTAGAGTCAGGATTTAAACCTAGAACTAGAATCGTTTTTCAAGTAGACAGAAGGTCATAAAATGGAAGGTTGACTCGTGGAAAAATAACCTTTGTTAAAAGTAATGAGTATTTGTCTCAGTTAAGGCCTGAGAAGTTGTCTAGAGTATCAGACGGGCTGATGAGCAGAAAGCTACATGCTCCTGCTAAGGTTCAGGTACTTCCGGTCAGGACGTGAGAGGACCCTCGGCCACACAGGCTCTGTTCAGGGTGGGGGACCTGGGGCTTCAACACTATTGGGAATGTTTCATTCTTAAGCTGAGTAGTGAATTTTTTTGGTGTTTGTTGTATTCTTTCTACCTCTACATTTGTCAAAATTTTTATTAAAAAACTAAGTGCCTGAATAGACATTTTTCCAAAGCAGATATACAAATAGCCAAAAAGCATATGAAAAGATACTGAACGTCACTAATAGTTAGAGAAATGTAGTTAAAACCACAATGAGATAGCACCTCACACCCATTAGGATGACCATTATAAAAATAAAAGAACAACAAAAAATCATGAAAACAGAAAGTAGAATGGTGGTTGCCAGGGCCTGGGAGGACTGAGAAATTGGGAGTTATTGTCCAACGGGTATAGAGTTTCAGTTTTATAAGATGAGACAGTTCTACAGACCTGTTACACAGCAATGTAGAATATGGTTGACACTGCCGAACTGTGCACTTGGAGATTTTTAGGGGTAAATTTTCAATTATTTTTTTACCAAAATTAAGAACTTTTAATTTTTAAAAAAACTAAGTGCCTATTATAGAGCTAAGAATACAGTAGCTGTTCTAGGCCCTCTCTCTGCTCTTCCATCCTGGGAACAATTACAACAGTGTGTGTGGAAGGCTGTCTGCAGAGTGAGCACAGGAGGCAGAAGAACGAAGCAGCGTTCAGACTACTGGCACCAGATCCTGGCATTGCCACGGGGACCTTGTGGCCATTTGTGAGTTGCTTGGCCTCTCGGCATTGGTGCCTGCTTTGAAGAATGTTGAGGGGATTAAATCGGATACTAATAGATGTTAAATAGCCAAAGTAGGTACCACAGTACACATAGAGGGTGCTCAGGGTATACTGCTATGATTACTATAGTCATGGCTCCATCCAGCCCTCAGGGAGGCCCTGTGAACTTGGAGAGGCTCCTGCAGGTCACAGTTGCTGAGCAATGGAGCTGGGCCTGAGCATCAGCAACCTGCTCCACATCCTGTGCAACCAAACTCCCAGGAGTGTATGTTTATTCCTATTTCTCTCCAAGCCAACTCCCCAGCAATGATGAAAGCTCTTCCCAATCCTAAGGTGCCATTCTAAAATAGAACTTAACAAAAGTTTAGGACAGCATAAAGTTTTTCACCAAAACCCCACCAACAAAGTCAACCCCAGAGTCAGAGACAGGGTGCAGCCCTTGGCTCTGCTGTGCACAGCTGGCGGGACTTGGGGAGTTACTTAACCTCTCTATGCCCCAGTCTTTTCGTGGGGATAATACAGTATAGACCACACCTGCCTGAGGAGTTGTCCTGAGATTTCAATGAGGAACTGTAATAAAAAGCACCCTGCATAGCAGCTCTCAGGTGGTAGGCTTCCCACACGTGCTAGCTAACCCTAACTTGTAATCATGTGTCCTGCATACTCAGGGAGTCCTTTAGTCTGTGTCACTGTTTCATTCCAAGCCACAGCTATTGCAAAGTGGTTTCTGGAACAGCAGAAAGAGCATTGGACTGAGACCTCAGTGTCGTGTCAAGTCCTGGCTCTGCCTGTGAGCGCCCTGCCCCCATCACACCTTCTGCTAGATGAAGGCTCTAGACCAGCCAGCTTTCTGACTCTTAACTCTGTGTTAGGATCCTTGCCAAATGGCTGCCTTTTCCATGTGATGTGTCTTTATCAGATCGCAGAACCTCAAGAGGAACAATAGGAAAAGCCATCTTCAGACAAAAATCTTCCTTTCCCTGCCCTCAACTCCTTATTTCCTGGGCTGGCAGCTTTACTTTGAGGAATAGCCCACGACCACACTCATCACAAGTAGACAGAGCCGAGGCAAAGGCCAAGGTGAAGAACCTTGAGGCCACCTCTCTCCAAGGAACAGAACCTTGAGGCCACCTCTCTCCAAGGAAAAGCGCCCTGCATAGCAGGACAGCCCTGCAGGATCCTCTGAATGCATCAGGACAAGAGGCACCTCCTCTTGGGCTGCCCCCAACCCCAGGACTTCACAGCACACAGAGAGGGGCTGTGCAAGCATGACTCACGTTAACACCAAGTGTCATTAATGTGAACCGAGGAGAGAAAAGGCATAAAAAGCCCGTTTTTACGTTTGAAAATTATTTTTCTATAGCTAAGTATCACAGATACTTAGACAGCACAGACTGACAGGTACAGACAGAGCAACAAAGAGCCTTTTATACCGAGTCAAGACACAGAAACAGCACTCTTCATGCAAATGCATTGGAAAGAAAAATGTTTTCAAAAAACAAGGTCTCCTATAAGAGAAGTACCTCTCAGCACCCTGTGGCCACCCACCACCTCCCCAGAGACCTCCCAGCCTGACCTGATCAGCTCTGCCTGGGGCCTCACCTTGTGAGTCATCAGTAACTTAAAGACATTTGAGAGAAGGCTGGAAACTTGAAGCTGGAAAAGAGAACAAAGCTGACTGCAGAGAGTGCTGAGCCCCAGAACCACATCTCCCTGCCAGGCCCCTGTCCTGCCTCCGGTCCACCACCCAAACCCACTACCTACCTACCTACCTACCTACACACACACACACACACCCGTGTGCAGAAGGACTGCACACGCATGAGCCCATTTTGAGTCTGGGTTCAAAGACCCCTTCCAGGGAACAGGCCTAAAAGCCTGGCTACCCCTGTGTGTCTACCCCCAGCACATATAAAAACCATTTCGGAATAAGGAAGATCAGCAGCCAGCTGCTGCTCCTCACTGCCAGTGGGCCACTCCTTGCTAGTGTAGACCATGAACTTAGGGGAAAAAAACTGTCAGGTTAGAACTATGTGTAAAATACAAAGTGGGCTCTGGTTCAGGTCTAAGTAGAGGACGTGAACATTAGGTATGTCCTTTGGCTGCTCAGGAACTGTAGTCGTCCCTCCCTCCAAGCTCAGCTAAGCTCCAGATACAGATGAAGTCGCAGAACAGCTACACCCAGATGGGGTGGCACTATAAATGTCACTGCCCCAGCAGCCACCCTGGAGAGCCTGGTCCAGGAACCACTCTTGAGAGCCGGTGATTTCGGTGGGCCCTCTCACACCCAGAAGATGTGGGCAGAGGAAAGCTTTGTTTTTCATCTGCCTTAAAACTCAAACTCCCTGGAGACCTCCCCCAATAAAAAGATCTCCCGTCCACTTGGGGCTTGCTCTGTCCCAGGGCGAGGACAGCACACGGAGGCCTGCCCCTTGGTGCCCTGCTCACCTTTTCCAGGGTGATGGTGTTCTTCCTGGCCTGGGTCACCAGTGTGGCCATCTCGGCCTTGAATCCCTCCACATCCCTGCACTCACTGGCCCGAGCGTGATGCAGGATGAGCTCAGCCACTCTTTGTCCCTGGAAGATGCAAATAAGGGAAACTTGGTAGAGTTGCGGGGCACCAAACTAGATGCTCTGCGCAAACTGCTTCATATCCTGGTCGCTCCCACCTAATCAACCTACCTTCCTGTGCTTGGCTACCCCTCCTTTGTAATCTCACCCCCCAGAAAACCTGGTAACCGACCAGTCTTTCGAAGTCTCTCTTGGTCGGTGGAATCCTACCTGTGCTTAGTGCAGTCAGGACAAGGCAGTGTGCTGTCTTCTTTGCCCTCCAGGGCCACACGGGGCACAGTGTCAAAACCAGTGTCTGGCTGCTCATGCTCCACCAGCCTGGCCCCAGAGGCTCCAGGACCTGCCACCGGGCTGGACCAGCCACCCTCTCCTCGTGGGCCGCCTTCTGCCCCAGCAGAATTCCCTACTCGCAGCTGACCCAGTCTTTGTGCTCCAGCCTTCTCTCGTCACCTCTGCCCTTCTCTCCCACCTCTGTCAGGACACACTCTGACCAATGCCTCCATGGTCTCCCCGAGCACCGACCGCCCTCCTGGTCACTGCTAACGCCTTTCACCTTCGCAGCACAGGAGCCAAGCTCTCCCTCCTTGGGCTGTGACCTTCTTCCTTCATCCAAACCTGTGCAGGGGACCTCCAACCCCGCCCACCACTGCACCTGTGTTTAACCTGAGCCCAGAGGGCCCTTTTGAATTGGTCCAGGCTCAAGACTCTGTCTGTCCCCTTGGAAGCCTCCTAAGCAGGGACTCCCTTGAATTTGCCCATCTCTTTGTTTTTTTAATCATCTTGCTCTTTCTCAGGGTCTTTCTTGCTGGAGAACTTTGCAGGAGCCAGCCAGAGGGTTTTTTCATTGTCACCTTAACATAGCACTTTAAGTTGACTCCACAGAGGCTTTGCTGAATCCTTTTCTCTAAATAATAATTCTCAACCTTTGGAGCCCCTCAGCATCGCAGGGGTGGGAGAGGTTAAAAACCACGCACGCTCCCCAACACCAGAGGTTCCAATGTGTCTCCCCGCGCTTGGAGAATAAGTCCCCTTTGCTGCTGCTTCTCACCAACACTCCAAATCACAGCAAATGGCACAGACCAGGGCAGCCATTATTCAGTCACGGGGCTAGCAGTGCTAGTGCCCAGCCCTACGCTTGCTAAAGAACAAAGAGATACTCCCTCCACGTAATGGCATTTGGGATGGAAGCACTTCTCATCCCAAACCATGAGCTGCTTGGAACTGGCCTGTCACACGCGCACATTGTGACATAAAGACCCTGACATTCCATCAGGAGCACCTTGGCTCCCAAAGGCATTTACAAGAATGACGAAGGCTGAGGAGCCCCGAAGCTCCTGAGAGCCTAAAAGATTTGGGCTCAGCTCCTGAGGGCCCAGCAGGTCTCACCTGCCCCATCGCCACCGCCATGAAAACAGCCCGGAAGTTCCTCAGGTCAGCGGCCTGTAGCTCAGCCACGATGCCGGCATCTAGGAGCACCAGGCGCAGCGGGCACTGGGCAGGTGCCACGGCCACCGCCAGCGTGTCACAGACGTCTACTTGCTGTAGCCGTTCCTCTTGGCTCTTGGACAGACCATCAGCACCCTGGACCAGGATGTTCCCAGGATGAAGGTCCGCATGGACGAAGTTGTCCACAAATATCTGAAAAGAGATCAGCACTGTTTGTTCAAGGCTGTCAACCCTCACCACCCCATCACCACGAGGCCACACGCGGATAAAGCTTCCAGGTGACAGTATGTTCCCAGTGATCAATTACAATGACAGAGAGGTGTATATTTTATAAAACCTCATTGTTTGATGTCATTAGCTCAGAATTTGTACAGGGACAGGCCAGGTTGATGTTTTCAAGTGAAAAGTTATTTTCAAAGTCAAGAACATTGAAAAAGATTATACGGAATTTATAAAATCAAAGCATTTCAGAAGACTTATTTTTACTCTTGATTTCAGCAATTAATATTTAAATTAAAAATAAATATTTACTCATTGTTCAAAGATCTCCCCCAAACCTCTCTGTTCTTAAAATTCATAGAATTTCCTTTCTTTCAGAATATATCATAAATCAGACTTCTCCCCATTACTTCCATCTTTCACACAGTGACAGCTAACAGTGATACTGACAACCACCTACTGGCACATAGAGTCAGGTAGGCAGGGAGAAATGGCTTTGAGCCTGCTAAGCAGAAAGGACAGCCCCAGGGACTGTGATAGACAGGAAGTCACACGTGACTTTGTGGAACAGAAATCTGCCTCCCATGAAGGGTCATCTCGGTGGTCAGAGAGACCACCAGCGATCCTTCCATAAGGGGAAAAAGAGAGGCCTGGTATAGAGGTGCAGAGCAGCTGCTTCTGGAGAGGCTCTCAGGGAACTCCTCTGGCCAACGCGGACTCCGTCCTCCTGAATGCAGGCCAGAGACCCAGGCCATACAGACCCTCCTAGTCCAGATTCTGGCTTTGCTACCCAGTGAAAATCCTGGGAACTGGAGAAGCTTGGGCCTGCACCTGACCTTGACTCCAAACTTCCTGGCATCTTGCTGTCAGCTCATCCCCTGGGGCCTATGCCCCTATCCTTGATCCCAGGAGCTGGAAGCCCCCCATGATCTCCCCACTCCCAGTGTTGTTTAGCACTGCACCCTCTCCTCAGCCCACAGTGCCCCCTCGGTGCCCTGTTACTGGGGACAAAAGTCATCTGCCCACTGAGCTTCCACTGCACTGACAGTGGAAACCCGGCTCTCCCACGATAGCCCCACTTCTCCAGGAGCCCCTGGGGTGGGGGCTGCTGACTCTCCACACCCACGGACCCAGGGGCTGGAGGTGGAGTCAGGGCCACTCAGCCCTCCCTCACCCTGAGCCCCTGAGCAGCGCTTACAGCCTCCTGGTGCTGTCAGCTTGCACCTGGCCACCACCCTGCCCTGAGTGCCCGTTCTCAGCGCAGCCCCACAGCCTTGGCCCCCGTGGCTCTACCTTGGTCACCTTGGTAGTTTCCTCCTGCTCTCTGACCACTGACAAACCTGGTTCTTTCTTACCCCGATGCTGTGCCCTCCAGACCTGACTACTCGTCCTGCCTATTCAGCCTAGACCCCGCCATCCATCCCTCCACTGCGGTCTCTGTGCCAGCCACCAGGAAGACCTCAGACCTAGACAATCTCGGTATCTTCTTTCTTTGCTCCTGCATGTAAGCTGCTAACAGTGCTGGGCTGCCACTATTACTACTGATTATAACTCACACTGCTTCAGGATCACTGTGTCCTTGTACAAGTGTCAACTCATGTAACCATTGTCAGGCCGTCCTCTCAGGGGTAACACCTAGACTGCCTTCACGTTCCAGCTGATGGAACTACTTCCTGAATAAATACCTAGGCTAGGACAGGCCCTTTCTAAACGACCCTTTAGTGTCTATACTTACCTTACATATCATTTAATTATTTGTGGCCTGTCTTCCCACTAAACAGTAGTTCCATGAATATTATAACCATGTCTGTCTTGCACACTAATGTAAATCCAGCACTTCCTGGCACATAGAAAATGCTTTATAAATACTTGCTGAATGAATGAATGAAGTAGCATTTAACATACAATGTCTTCAGCTGTTTGTCCTAAATGTAAGCAACTGGGGCAGGGCCCGGGTCTTGCTCTCCACCCTTCCCACAGCACCTTGCAGGGTGACCGAGTGCACGCCACTGCGAATATGCTTCATGGAAAGCCATGGCATGGACGGGCGTCTGGGTAGGCTCAGCTCTTTCTAGAGCAGACTTCTGACTTGGCTCGCCCTCCACCCAGGGTAGCCAAGCAGTGTCCCCGCCACCTCCCCACATGCAATTTGGCCACATGCTGGACCTGAGCACCCTCTCCCAGCCCACTAGCTCACCATCTTCAGGAGCATGTTGATCCCCAGCCACGCGATCTTCCTCTTCAAGTCAACAGGAATCCCTGCCTGCTGGTAACTGGACACGGGCACGCTCTCCTATAAGGCAGATCAGGGAGGAACAGTTTACCCTGGACAGCCCTGCTCCACATCCCCACGAGACGCACCGTGTTGCCCACCTATTGACTGGGAAGGGACCCAAAGAGTTTTTCCTTTCTTAGAACCCCTAAGGATCTGACACCCACAAGTTGATTTGAACCTATTTACGTTTCCCTTCCATAACACTTCTCAAAGGAAAACAAGTCCCATAGGTTTACTAGAGAGGAAACCCATTGGCTCTGCCACCCACAGGTAAGATGTAATGTCGCGAGAAGAGACAGGAGCAGACCCTGGAAAGCTAATTTCTGCTCAAAATCAGCTAATAGGAACAAGAATGAGCTCTGTGACCCTGAGCAGGAAAATGGAAAGATAAAAAAGAAGAGAAAAGAAAGGAGAGCTGGTAATATAGGTCAGTTATCTGTCAGAGCAGCCTAAGATAGACCTTGTTATCCTAATTAACAAAAGAACTATAAAGCCTTGAGAGTTTAAGTAACTTGCTCAAGGTCACACAGCTAGTAGTTCTGGGACCTGGCATCACTTCCCTAGATCTCATATTACCATCTTTACAAAGGAGGCTGGACCAGGAGACAGCCAAGGCCAATCACATGACACAAACACTTGTTGAGCACGTTCTCTGTGCAAACTCTAGCTGAGAGCATTTTACATTCAATGTGTCATTGACTCCTGGAACAACCCTATGAAGCAGGAACCCTTGCCCACTGCCATATATGAGGAATCTGGAGTCGCCCAGCAAATAAAATGGCAGAGCAGATTTTCAAATCCAGAAAGTCTGAGGCCACAACCAGGCTCTCGGTCACCACCTCACTATGCTGCTGCCCACCCTCGTGTCATATCCAGATTCCTTCAATATGTAATCGTGTGTTCTTTCGGCTTTTGTCTTTTCAGACTAAAGCCTTCGTGTGAATCAGAGACAGCCCAGCTATGAGTGAAAGGCACAGCCAGGTAAGTTCTGACTCTTACTTCATATGTTTCCACCAAAACATCACTGGTGACAAAGGGATGCAGGGGAGTGGGGAATTTGACAGAATTCACGTTCAGGAAGTTGCACTGGAAATGTTCTAGATTCCGAGCTTCGTAGCGCAGGTCGATCTACAAGGAAATGGAGAGAAAGATGAATGGGTAGTCGGGACACGGGGAGAGCAACACCTGAACCCCGAAGAACTGGAAAGTCACAAGAGTCATCTGCTTTCCCTTCCTGCTTCTGCCGCACGGCTCCCCAGGAAACGCGGGAGAAGGCATTCTGTGATGAAGGGCCTCCGGGAAGTCTGAGCCTCCTCTGACACCCTAGCAGCACATGGGTTTTGCTGCTTCTCCACTCTTCCCTCTCTGCCCACCCCCTCACACCAGCTGATGGACCCCTTCCCCATCTCCCAGGACTCCTCTCCTACCTCCCTGGGGTTTAGCTTTGCTGCCTCTCCAGGCGCACTGCCCTCACTAGCCCGCCCTCTGGCCCTTTCCTTAGATTAAGGCCTACTTCCATCACAGGGCTAGCTCTACCCCTGACCCCATCACACTGACACTGCTCTCCCTAACTCACCACGCCTTCATTTGCCAGACTCAACGGCCCCATCCCATTTTATCCTAATTCACTCTCTGGGTCCCCAGTACTGGTGTCACCGACACCTCGTTCTTCCTGAACCACTCTTCCCTTGGTACCTGCTCCTTGCTCTCCTCAGTTCTCCCTCTACCTCTCAACTGCTCCGTCTGGGTCTGGTCTCCTGGCCTTTCCTCCCACGTGAGCCCCACAGATGCTGATGCCTGCTCAGCCCCTGACCCTCACCAGCTTTTGCTCTCCCTCTCGATCCCCTCATGTCCTCAGCTAGCACCTCCTGATGACAGAACCTTGACATGCAGTCTAGACCCCCTCTACCAGTTCTCAGACTCATTTCAAATACATCTGGACATTGCCCTGTGGAAGCACGGAGTCCCTTGAACATGATGTCTAAACAGAACTTACTTTCTTACTTTCTTACCCCATGTACCCAGTCACTTGAGAGTCACTACAGATTACTCCTCCTCTTTTACTCTCCATATCCATCAGTGCTCAATGCCATCAACTCTGCAGCCCTAACCACTCTGGGATTTATTCCCCTTCTCTGCCCCACTGCTTCTCCCAAGGTGATTTGCCTGAACCAGTCACCTAACCCTAACAGAAGCATCTGAGTTGGGCTTCCTGACACCGCCCCCCCATCACCATCTTCCCTCTCTCCAGTCCATCTGCTGGTGTCCCCTGAATTCTTAGGGATGACATCCGGCCGGGGGCGGGGCGGGGATGGTTTGGCCTTGCTTCTTTCTTCAGGTCCATCTCTTGTGCCTCCCTCCTCCTCTACCACCCAAAACTCTAGCTTCACCCAAATTGAATAGTGCTGAACACCCCAGCCTGCTGATCTACCCCCTCTTTTGCCTTCCTTACTCTCTCTGATTGGAATGTTCCTCCCCGTCTGGTCCGACAGTAAACACTGCTTACTTTTCAAGACCCAGCACAAGCCTAGGGAGCCTTGACCCTCGATGCAATGACCACTTTCTCTCTTGAGACCCAAGCAAACCCAACTGAACTTGTAGAGACTCCTACTGTAACTCTGATCACACTCTATTTGTAAGTATCTATAGGTCAGCACCTCCTGCCTACTTTATATTCCTTGTAGACGGGAAAATCTCACTTGCTTTCTTAGTTCGCCAGCTTCTAACAGACTCCCACACATACATCCACACTCTGGGACTGTGATAGGGCTACTGAGAGATACAATTAGTAGGAAAAGCTGATTTTTAAGGCAAAATGGGGTGAGATATAGAGACTTGAGTTTAATGTGGTGGAACACTATGATATCTATGAGACTTCTAGAAGGGGCACTGAAGCTCAGATGCAGTAGAACTGAGAGTAATTAATGCAGAGGTGGTTATTGGAATTGAAGCCATATTCTGTTTTAATTTCTTTCATCAAAGCCATACTACTCATAGCATAAAGCAAAGCTTTCTAAACAGTAAAACATCCCTGGGACTTAATGAGGACATAAATGAAGACTTGGCACACTGATTCTGAAAGACTGCCAACCTCTGCACTATCCAACAGGGAGCCAGGGCTGATGCGTACTCGGAGTCCTGATGGCCCCCAATGTGTTTACCAAGTCTGGCTACTTAAACAAGTGTCCCAAGGGTCCTAAATGGGAGGAGGTCCTTTTCTACTCAAAAGCCCTGGAAAGAAAGCAAAACAAAGGGACAGTGCATGTCTTTGCTAATTAATCTTATCACCCTGGAGTTCAGCCATTGATTGTGGCAGATAATGTTTCTGTCACACGGGAGTGATTTCACTTTCCTCCCAAGCACTAAGGAAGACTGTATTTCCCAAGCATCCTTGCGTTTACACGGGGTCCGTGTGGTTAAAGCTGACCTGTAGACTAGAAGTGATGTTCGTCACTTCCAGGCCTGGCCACAGATTCTCTGACATAATCCTCCATGGCCCCTCTCCCATCCTGCACCAACTCTAGATGACACAGCGTGAAGATGGCAGTGCCGACCGTGGGAGGAAACTGGGTCGCTGAATAACTATTTAGTAGAGCTCCATCTCCCTCTTTCAGTTCAACCTGCATTGAACTTTAATATAGCAATAACCTTGTTGAATTAAGCCACTGAGATCTAGGCATTCTTTGTGATATCAGCTAGTGTTATCTACCCCAACTAATACACCATACCCGTCATGACTTGCTGGGAATTTCCTCATTCAGTCAGCATTCACTAAACAGCTAATGGCAAGAACTGTGTTAGATGCTATTGACAACCGAGGGAAGAATTCACCTGTTGGACCATGAGCTTCTCAAATTCCTCCACAATCTCAGGCAAGCTGAGCCACTTGATTCCTGGCAAAAGTGCAAGGACTCGGCTGCCCATCTTCATCAGCAGCAGGTCCATCTGCACCTGAGAGAGCAGGCCAGGGTGCAACACCTTCCAGAAAGAGGAACAGTGGGACAGAGGAGGTGTCAGGAGGGCACACTGACCCAGCCAGGGCTGGGTCCCCACATCAAAGGAGAGCCAGGCCAGCTTCTCATCAGAGCAAGGGGAAATGGACCCAACACCCAGGATGCTCCTGCCTCCCTCACTCCCATGTGCCTTCTCCGAGGAGAAGCGAGGGCAGATCCTCTGCACTGCACTTAGCTTTCCTGAGAAGAATGGGTAGCCTTTTTCCTCCCGATGCATTAAGTGTAGATTGGTGGCTCCCAAAAAATGAGTAAAAGTCACCGGGGGGTGCCTGTGGACCCCAGGCTCCTCCAAGACCTACTGAACCACCTGTTCAGGGAGTGGGGCTGGGAATCTGCATTTCACTGAGCACACCAGGTAACTCTGTGTCAGACAGTCCACAGCCTGATAAAGAAGACCCCAGCGTCGGAGAACTCCAGCTCTGTGGTGGGATGGAAAGAGCTCTGGTTTCAAATTCCAGCTCTGGTTTCAAATTCCAACTCATTCCCAGTATGAAACTGGGCAAGCTACTGTCTCTGTCAGCCACCCGTTCCATTGTTTAAAACATGGAGATAACATCCCCTACCTCCACCTGAAATCCTTTAAGGAATAAAGTGGGATATAAATAAATAGATATAAGGAAAACCAATGCCTACGTCGAAGGCATCTAGTCAAGATTAAACAGTGCGTCAGCCATGACTGGCAGTTCCCGGTTCACAGCAGGCATCCACTCCCTTCATCTTCCACAGAGTGAGGAAACTTTCAGGATATTTTTGGTCTGGTGTTTCCCAAGCATTCCAGACTATGAGAACCACTCGCAGCATTTATAAAAAGCCAGGCCCCAGGCTCTTCCCTTGGAATGTATGATTCAGTAGGTGTGAAGTGAGGCACTGCTGGGTTTTTTCCCAGTGGGTAAGAGTGTCAGGAGTCCTGCTACTTGTGTCTGCCACATCCCCTGGGTTGTGCTGAATAGGGGTGGAAAAGTGTGGAAATGAGAAATGATGGAGCCTAGACAGGGATGACTGGAAATGAAGAGAGAAGGAAGCCACTTCTATAAAAGCGAATACTGCCATCTTGGGCTCGCCACAGCACATCTATCTATCTAACCTAGTCTGTCTCCGATTCATCCCGACCCCGGAGTAGTGGGTCAGCTGGAACATGGTTCCTCCACCCACAGAGGCAGCAAACTCCAAACCTCTTCATTTTCCTTTGTCAAGCAGGTCACACCACCACTCCCTCAAGCCAAGAAATAAAGCAGCTTGCACATTACAAGCACTCAGATAATGGTCAAGCTAACAGAAATCAATGGAAGGCAATGTGGGGTGATCTGCACAGGGAGACTCTTGATCTGGGACAGCTCCAGGGGTTTGGTGAGATTTTAGAGATGGGAAAGGCCCAGCTGACAACATCAAAGTACTTACTTTCACTGCCACTGGGATGAGGTGATCTGGTTCAGGTAGGCGGGCAGGTGCTGAAGCCTGAGACAGAACTGCATTTGATCCAAACAGGTGAGCTTTAGGGAAGAGCAGACTTTCTAGAAATGCCTGGTCAGCAAGACTTTCTTGAGGCCTCCACCCCTTCTCGACATGACCAAAGAGTGCTTTCAGACCCCCAACTGCCCCAGCTGCTGAGGAAGGCTGGGCAAGTCTCTGGATGCTGTCACTCTCCAGGAAGGCAGGATTGGCACGTGCTTTGTACACTTGGGCCACGCAGCCTGAACCCACAGGTTCCTGCTTGTCAAAGCAGAGGACCTTCGCCCAGCCCTCCCCAAAGGCCTGCTGCAGGACGTGCTCAGTGTGAGTCCAAGGGTGTGGAGGCACCCGGACGTGCAGCTTGGAGAACTGGGCACAGAAGGCCTCTGAAAAGAGATCTCGCCGGGTGCTGGCCCATTGGCCCAACTTGATGTACGTGGGACCTGAGGTCTCGGTGGCTTTCAGAAGCAGGTGGAACCAGAGGCTGGAGACACTGGGAGCCAGATATGTGAGGGGGTAGAGCAGGAGGAGGGGAAAGAATTTCACCAAGAGAGCCCCAGCCCGGAGCCAGAGCCGCAGGTGCAGAAGGAGGCAGCCTAGCCGCCCCTTCTGGGAGACTCTCTCCAGAGGCCCATTGCCAGCCAGGTCACTCCAGCTGGCCGTTCGCTGGCACAAGCTCTCAGGGGCCCCCTCACCGATGTTCCCAGAGACAGAGATGAATTTGGGCAAAGTGCCAAGCAGAAGCCAACAGAGTCTGGCATTGCGAGGGCATCCAGAGGGTCGCAAAAGGCTGAGGTTCGTCCTGAGCTCAAAACCCCTTAGGTGCAACAAGTAGACCCTGACGGATAAGCGCCAGGGGGTCACCATCCTCTCCCAGAGGTCCACAGCCTCGGCTGCCTGCCCTCAACTTGAAAAGCACCTACCTATGTCCACGCCTTGGCAAGGCCGACATGAGTCCAGGGCCACAGCCAAGTATTCCACTTAAAACTGGGGCACCTGCCGGATCCCACAAAGCTCATGTGCAGTCCAAGCCCAGTCCTGTTCCCGCAGGGCCGCACCACCCGCTAGGCCGCACAGCCCGGCCCCGCCTTGGCCGCAGGAGGGGCCGGCCCATCCGTCCCTCCCGCTCTACCTCCAACTCCCTCGGGGTACCTAGCCTTGGTCTAAGGCCCCAGACCGTGGCGCCTACGGGGTCTAAACCCACTGTGAGAACAGGAGCGGCCAAGCCAGACGTGAAGCCAGGCCCAGGGTCGGGACGCGACCTGCGCGAGGTGGCTGAGCGGGCCGAGACAGAGCCAGGCGGCCGCAGGGTCACCCGCGCGTGCCAGGGCCAGC